GGATGGTCGTTTTGGAGTCTGTGTGCTTGCATTAGCATTTGACCATTCCACTGTTAATTGGATGATGATTGTGGGGGAGTAAAAGTAAAGGTGTGGAACCGTTGGTTGTTGGTTGTAGAGACGAATCTGGAAGAGTAGATGCTATTGATTTCCAGATGAGGAGGATTCATGACCGGATTATTTGAATGATATGCCCCCCTTAGAAAATGGAATTCGAAGCATTCTTACGGACCATGTGTTCATAGATAGATCCACCTATGTGATATTTGATCTTGTGGTTTGTGTGTTCAAGTGATGTACCTTTTTTTATTTTAAAATAACTCACGCAACCATTAAAACTAACCTGGTATATTGAAATATAGATATCAGAGTCAGACTCTCAGGAGGCTTTAGAGTATAACCAGGTTGATTGAAGATTTTGTGAGTTATTGCGCATTAACCGCGATAATTCGAAAGCAGAATAGTCTTGAATTTTTAACGATGCGGAGTCGAATATGCGAGATTACTAAAATAGGTTAGCTTAGTATAAAATGGTACTGTAGTTCCTTCAATCCGCCCCTTGTACTGGGAATGAAATGAAGAAGGCAATCTGATATATATTGATGGACATTGCGCAGAACCCTTGTGTAACCTAGAATGAGGGAAAGATAAGGGAAATGAGATTTATATTGTGCGCATGCGTAATGGAGCTGTTCGAAAATAAAGTCATGATAGTTAACCTTATCATTCTAGTTAATTTCATGTTGTGCTCATGTTGCCAGTCATGCCGTTTCATTGATCGTGATTGATGAGTTGATCTGTATTGATTACCAGCCGAGCCTACAGTACGTAAATCCTCGTGACAATGGTGATACGAGCTGAAAGTAAGCTTCTTGGTAAAAGACGGCATCGTTACGACCGACTAGGGCTGAGACTTTTCTATCATTGGGAATTCCGAAGCTTCTTCGATACCGTCCGATGGAAAGCCCGCGAAGCCGTCTTGGGACATGAGCTTTGCCGGTTAGGATTAGTGTAGTCTTGTAAGCCCCCACTCCCTTCTCAGCACTTAGTGTGATCACCAGCTAGCATTAGGTTCCTCTAGTTTAGTTCGAAATCTTGTGAATCCATTTTGTACCCGCTTCGAATAGAGTATCGAGGGGAAGATTGGCTACTGTTAATGACTATCAAAAATTGCTCCTGAATATGAAATCCAAGCCTCGTAAGCGACTAGGCCTAAAAGATTGATTGATATAGCAATATTGTTGTTTGAAAGGAGACAATCCCAAGGGGACGACTGGTTTGTGGGAGACATATTGTTTTGCATGAGCATCTTGACTATGGGTCATGGTACTGCCAAGGGCTGCAGACTCTTGGAAGTACCAGCACTGGAGTACTTCACCTCATAGAAGATGCCATGTCGTAACAACATACCAGAACATTGTCATGATGAACAATTTGCGTATGTGAGACTGCAGTCAGAAGTGCATGCCATCAAACTGGTCGTCGTTGTACTCCGAAGCATGTACAACTTCATAGTGGTATGAGGTTAATAACATGATTTGATGATGTTTGGTATGTACAGTGACAGGTACAAACCGTGTACAACCACAACCCCACAAATTACTGTCGTGGAAGCACCAGCGACATGGCCCCAACGACGTTGCAATGCAGGGGCACAGAAGGCGTAGCAAGCAGCCGCTTTCTCAAATTTCTCGGGTCGGTCTTCATGAAGCTTGTGAGCGTTTCGTACTTTCATGCTTTCGTGGTTCCAATGCCAAAGATAAGAGAAGTTGATTGGATTATTGATCTCCAGATATCAAATGATTGAACCACGGTTAGGGGCAAGTGAAATTGGGATAATCTCCGCAAATTCTCTCCGTTTTCGTGATTCCCGCACTTGACACTACTGAAAACTATTTTTATTCGGGGTCAGATAGCGGACAATGCTTCCAATGCTAGAGTGGAGAGTTTTCTACACAACGCCGCTTTGCGGAGGAGTGAAGATATTGGGGTTAATTATATTTGAAAATCCTTTGCCAATTTCTTTGAATAGGAACAGGTCGATTATTATGGGAATCCAGGGTATTATTCAATTACGAGGTGTCCAATCAAATTGTCTAGTTCCCATGAAACGATAATCCGTATGGCCTAGCCTCACAGGGCTTCAAGTTGGAAATTTACATGTCTTAATAGTCACTAAATATTTTGCTTGAGATTACTAACATAAGTGTAAGTCATTCAAAGAATGCTCACATAGAGGCATGGAAGCGCTGAGGGACTTAGGGAACCCCATGGCAGGCCCAGCCTTGGAGCACGTTTCATGCCTGATGACTCTTCATTTGTGGAGAAGTTCGTACTAACATCATGACATGGTCATGGAAAATAGACCTCAGATCTTGGCCCACGAGGCTATGTTCTTGGGCTGGAAATCTGGGAGCAGCGAAAAGTCCTGTGACATAGAGCTAAAACTTTAACTATGTCGCAGACTTGAATATAGAGTTGGAAAGTTTGTCGCATTGAATGGTCTACGTAAAACCGTAGGCATCTGGCTTGCTAACGACGGCGACGGCAATGGTCATTATGTTGATATTCATGCTCACATTTGTCTGTGCGAGAGATTGATGTTTGAGACATACTGTAGGTAGTAATTGGTGAATATAGCCTTTGACGAATCTCTTGGTACGTACCACCTAGCCTACCTTGAAGTGTAACGTGGTTCATACTATTTTACTGTGACCTAATATGGTGATGGAGATGCTGCTGATCTTTCTTATGTGGGTTCTTTGGAAGAGATACGGCTATTATAGGAGACGGATGATGCCGAACGGGAAATCAATAGTTTGCGGTACTCGAGGCTCTTCGCTGTCCCAATCTAAACATCATGAAATGAGGGGAAATCTCAAGGATCAACTGGATATCAAAGTGCTCATCACTGCAATTGCAACCAAAAGGAGAACATGATGCACATAACTTTGTGATGATAAGTCAATAGCCATCAACGAATCATTCAAAACCAGATGGAGGACCAAATTGATGCTGCGAAAAGTCAATCTAGTTTAGGATCTTAAGGCTGGTAAACATTACGAAACTTGACCCTGATGGATAAAGCATTACATTCTATTGCAGCTGTGATATTACTATTTAGGACAGGGACGAGGCAGAATGACTCCTTCATTAACCGACAGTTATCCAGCCATTATCATATTAATTGTTCGGCGCATATCATAATTTATTTTTTGATATAGTAGATACATACTAATAAGTCCCAACAAATAGACAGAGCCACAGCAGTGACTATGGACCAAAGCTAAATACTTGAAACTAGGTTGAGGATGACGATTATACTCGTCGTCCAGCTCAGATGATTGATTATGGCGTTTTTATTTTATCTCCTCTCGCTACCATATTGCGAAGTTCTTGGCTCTATGGCCTTCTGCTTACTCGACTTGGCTAATCAAGCTATTGCTTCAACAGTCACAGTGCTCACCAGGCACTTCGCCATTATCAGTCACTCCCCCTCCTAAAGCGGATTCTTTCGCGCGAAGTTAGCGATGAATAATTTCCTTTCACGATCCTGCCTTGGATCTATGACCCTTCTTTCTTTTTCCATCTTCACCCTTTCCCTTGGGTTGCTCCGTGAAATTTGACAAATAAAATTAGATGGCTGTACCTGTTCAATTGGGGAGAAATCGGGAGCTACACGTTAGTACTTTTACTTGGGTACCTTTGGGTGGTGCTAAAACTGACGATCTTTTTGGTGTTCATATTTCTCAATTATTCCCATCATGAGCCTTGTTTTACGGATCAGAAAATATATTGCATGGCTTGAGGAGACATACGCCATCATCATCCAGTTCCTTTGTGCGATTCCTTTGGAAAACTTCTTCTCCACTTTGCATTCTCCACACTTTTCCATTCTCACTCCAACCAACACCCTTTGCACCCAAGCCTTGCTCTCAAAGATCCTTTGGCCCTAGCGAAATCCGCATTAGTGACCTTGCAGTTTGGAGGTTACTGTAATAACTTTGGACTGGTGGACCCCTTGTATACACCAAGCACCACCTTGCACATTTTCAAACAAATCATCCCACGTCGCTGTTTTAGTTGAAGTATTTGCTTCACGAGCGTCGAGCGTCGAGCGGCCATGGACATGGATGGTATGAGGCCAAGAATTTCTTAAAAGGTGGAGACAATGTCTGCAGCTGCCACCAGTCATAGGTTCAGAGGTGCATGGCTTTCATCGCCAGGGTTAAGATTTAGCTTCTCCAGGGATTAATTGGTGATAGATATAAGGCCATATCTTGATGCTGCTATAGTGACAGGGCATATGTGCATATTTCTGTCCAATGTACATGGATATTTAGAGACCACTTTAACACTTTAACATTTTAATACTTTAATACTTGAATGCTTCACACTTTTAATGCTTAATACTTTCACACTTTCACCAAAAGGGGCTGGTGAAGTGTAGATGGCATGATAGTGATGACAGACTAATGAGACTATACACTAATCGGTAATTTTTCTGATTATCTTTGTACTCATGATGTCTGAACACACCACCAAAATAATTACTCACACCACTTGGACACGCACACCACACAAGAGAAAGAAGAAAAAAGAAAAAAAAAAAGAATTAAAAACAAATCGAGAAATTCCCGCAAGCCACCGAAAAGTCTTGTGTGCCACCAACCAGACATTGTGAAGCACACACACCTTTTCCTTAGTAACAGAGTTGATTTTCCCATGGCTACCAAGCAGTCTAGCGTCCAGCAATCTATTCCATTATTTCCATTATCCTCTAACCCCCCGAAATTGTATTAATACACACGCTTTGCCATTTTAGGAGGAGTGGCCAAAATGTGAAAGAAAAAAAAAAAGCCCATCTGCACAAGGCAGGCATTATCTGCAGGACCCAGACAGGCCAACTCCTAGTCAACCCCAACTCTACTCAAACTTGTATATCCTTCAACCTCCTCCCTCGTGTTTATGAGCCATATCCCATATCAGAACCTCAAGAGCTTCCAAACTTTCAAATCATATCCTTTTCCAGACACGCACACAGCTATCGACCAAGGAAATAGGGCATGATACCATCCATCAACCCAAATTCGTCAACTATTATTTATTCATTAATCACATCATCCATTTAAAAAATTACGGCAGCAGCTTTCATTGCACAAGATTCCTCCACTTAGTACCGGGTGGAGCCTTTCATCGAGTCACACCATAGCTTACTTGACCGAGCTTTGTCTACGACATAAAATCAGACAACACAGCATTTATTCCTTACCTTGCGAAAAGATCCATAAAGGAAGACTCATCCTTCGAATTCTGGAAATTTTCATCCCTCAATCAATTCGATCCTCATCAACCATATCCAATTCCCTCTACCTCTACCCTCTCAGTACAATCAAACAATCAACATACACAATGTCTTTCGATATGGAATGGTCTCCGGAATTCTGCCTCGCCTGTGACAGGCAAACAGATGGAGGTGTTTACTGCTCAGAAGCTTGTCGTCTCGCAGAGTACGAAAAGGCCTCGTCAAGTGAGAATTCATTACCCTCTTCACCATCATCACTTCATGGGGCTTCTTGGCCGTCAAAGTCAAATGGTTTCTACATGGAGCCAGCATACAACTTCAGCAGTGCACAACCATACGGCACAACCCCCTCATCTAGAACCTCATACTTTTCCCAACCTACGAGATCATCTCCAGTTAACAAGGCTACCTTGACACCTTCGAGCTCACAATCAAGTCTCTTCTCAATGCAAAGCACCACTTCATCGACGTGCTCGGAACCGGCACAGCTGTCAGCAGAATCAAAGCAGGCTTTGAGGGCATACGCTAGCTCATTTGATCAATCTCGAAACTCCAGACGACAATCTGGCAGTCATTAAACAATTTACCTACTACGAAAAACATTTTCTACCAATCATCATTCTCAACTTCGGCATTCAACGGCGTTATTTCAGACCACACATATTTCTCATTATGATACAAATACCCATTCCTCTTCTCAAAAATTCTTAGCAGGAGTCGGCGTTACCTTTACAATATATGATCAAATTGATTGTTGTACAAAAGTGTTATCATTTGGGCACACATTCACACCATTCATCTCATCAATCTTCGGCATTCCAAAAAATTTCCTTGGGTCATTTGTTACAAACTTGCATTGGAGCATTCAGAATAGCGAGGAGTGGAGTCACGCAATTTGTTTTCGGCACTACGCTTTTTATTTTCTTAATACATCATGGGCATATTAGGAAGGCATGGGAGGGATACCCAGATATCATTCAAAGTATTTTGGGAAAGCATCGGACAATGGGATAGGCAGCGTTGGAGCATTTTATTCATTTGTTTGCAAAGGAAGGAAGGAAGGAAGGATCCACTTGATGGTGAAAGGGCGCCTATTTTTTCTCCTCTCTCGATTCTCGCTTGATATAACAAATCGTTACTTCTCTGTTCTGTGTTTTACGAAGCCTGTTAGCGATAGTTTGGTTTGGATGGAATAGGATGGGTGAATAGGAAGGATATACCACATGATGGTTTAAATCCAGTAGAATAGTCGGGTCTCGTCATTTACTTTTCAATAAAGTAAATTGACTTACTCTATCTAGTAGTATAATAGTCAGAACCAAAAAGAATAAGAAAGATTCTTCAGTCCTGTCATTAAATGACGGACTCGACACCACACATTACGTTTTCCCTTTGAACTTTGAATCTTCGATTGTGATTATGATTGTGTTTGAGATTATGAAACTTTTTTCTCTTTTGACTTTCTTTTCTTTGTTGGTTTTCTTATAAGAGTAATTTAATTACAACATTATCGCCTCATATTATATCATTAGGATTCAAAACTTAAATTCCTTCTTCAGCGGACAAGTGGGCACACACATACGTATGTATGTATACGGAATATTCGGAGTTATTGTATTGTGCTGTATTCTGGTATGTAAAAACAACAAACAAACAAACAAACAAACAGTAAACAAATAATAATAATAGATAAATAAATGAGAAAAGTAAATAAGAAAAATCATATAAGTTTTAACTTTTACTTTACCCCTCGCGTTCTTAATTGTTAATGAGGGATAGGGATAAGATGTGGGAAATGTGATGTAGGATGTGGGATGTGGGATGTGGGAAATGAGAATAAGATTGATTGAGGCTTGGGTTTTGCTTTTTGGAGGAAATATGAGATGTGAAATATGAAGTTTGGGGATTGGTGTTTGTGGTGAGGTGGATGAGGTAGGAGTGAGTGGGTGCTTCGATGGTGAGATGATAAGGGGAGGAATAATAATAAAAAGAGGTGGGGTAAGAGGGTAAAAGAGTGAAATTATAAATTGGAAGATATATATTTATATTTGTTATATAGTAATAAATACAAAATAAAATATTAAATCGAAATATTAATTAAAAAATATATATTTACTTGTATACTTTTGTTTAAATATATAATATAATATAATATAATATTTTTAAAAATAAATAAACTTGATGAATTTTTATTTTGTTTTAATTTTTTTAATTAATATATATAAATTGAGGGATATTGAGGAATAATTAAAAAATAAGATAATTTTTGATAGAGAGAGGGGATATAGTAGATAGGGTGGGTAACTTTAAATGTAGATGTTAAGTATATAAAGGTTAAAAGGTAGGGGTTTGGCGGTATATAAAATTCTTACGGATAATACAATTAAAAGAGAAGAAGAGATGTTCTTCTAGTACTAAATAAAGCTATTTTGAAGAGGGGAGCTAAAGAGCAGAGAGCTAGAACTATAGAACGATGATAGTAGACGATAGCCCATTTTCATTTCCTTCATATTGGAAGAATTGGATTTCTGGTGCCTTACCTACACTTACCTACCACAGTGTACGTAGGTCCTAGACACGCTTAGAGCTAGAAAGAGGGATGATTGATAGTATTGTTTTAGATATTGCACGTGGATTTCCCCGAGCAAGAGGATTTCCTTGAATTGTCGGGAGCTTGTTTTGGTTAGATTTGATTTACTTTAGAATACCACGACTAGATTAGTAGAGGTCAAAGAATGTGTGGGGAAGAAGAAAAGGAACTTTAGAAGTTAATTGGCATTGAGAATGAATGGTGAATCGAAAATGATGATGCCATTGTTCATGTAGGTAGGGTTGTGGTTCATGTATTATATTAGTGATGTTTTCATGGGTCGGTGTTATGGAGTTTTAAGTGCATGATGAGCCTTGAGGTGAGGTTTCCGCTTCTTGGGGTTTTTATCTCGTAATGGCTTTTTTTTCTATGCTGGGATGGATGGAGAATGCGGGGATGGGAGATGAGGTTGATGTGGTGATTGATGATGATGATGATGATGATGATGATGATGATGATGATAGTTTGTTTGGTTGAAACTTGATACTTGAGGGAGATACCTCGTTGGAGATTGAGTGAGGTGTTTGAGGCATTATTCGTGTATCTAGGAGTATCTAGGAGTATCTAGCTTGAGTGTTGAGGGAATATCATCGTTGTACGTAGGATGCAAATAGTTATGTTATCCCTCTCATGTTATCCCTCTCATGTTATCCCTCTCATGTTATCCCTCTCATGTTATCCCTCCCATGTTATCCCTCCCTCCCATGTTATCCCTCCCATCCATAATCCCTCTCTATAATACCTCACCGCAAACTATCCTTATAGCCCCGCTATATTCTACAATTCCATACAGACCGTACCTCTGATTCCAAAATTCCCCATCAAACCCACCGCCCCGAATTCGAAACAAACAAACACACAAACAACAGACAATAACTATGGAAACTTTAATACCAGCCCACCAAATATCCACCGAATGACTTTTTTCTTCATCGGTACCATCAATTAGGATATCCGGCGGTGCCCGCCGCCCGAAGGTCTGCCTTACCGCCGTACCGTATTTTCTTGAAATGCTTTGATCCCAACACATGACTCCACTGTAAGAATTGTCTGGTACAGCGGGACCTAAAAGTTAAAGAAAGGTAAGACGATCGTACGAGATTGATACAAGGAGAGACCTGGAGGGGATGAAACAAAATTAAGGCTTCTCACAATAGAGGGAGACTTTGAAGGGAAGGGAAGGGACGGGAAGGGAAGGGATGATTGCATCGAGGTAAAAATGTAGGGAAGAATTGCGCAATGATCGCTGGGAGGAAGGAAGCGGAAATGCCGTTTTCCTTTCTTCGTTCGAGCGTGATTTCAGTCAGGTACGAACTCTTTTGCTATGTACTTCCTTGTCTTGTCTTGTCAGGTGAGAGGAGAGGGGAGTAACTCGTCAAATTTTTATATTTCTAATATCCTCCAAAGATTCATGTTTGTTGGTTGGCTTGATGCTGAGTCTGAGTCTGAGTCTGAGTCTGAGTCTGAGGGTTTGATGTTTGGTGATGTGTGACACGAGAGTAATCCTGACCTGATAATGACCAATTATATGAAATCGGAGACCACAATCTTCGCTTCCTTCTATGGAAACTTCAAAGAAATAAAAAAGAGATTGTCTACCCGCCCGGCCTTTCCGTCTTCGGGTTTCTTCCTTCGAATTCAGCACTTTGTCGATGCCTTGGAGTAGATTAGTGGAGGCCGAGCCGTAAGCCCTATTCCCTACGCGCCGGACTTCAATATTCAATATGAAGAGGCATAATCACGAGAATTTCTACAACCTTCTCGAAGTCAATTAATTTAATTTGAATATTCTTTTCTGTTTCAATTTTCATAAATAACCCAAATGCATAAATCTTCTAAAAACTCCAAAATCACCCACCATTCCCATAAAAGTAATATCCACATCTACAATTATTTATCCATGTACATACATACATCGGTGACCTAACGCTCTTAAAGAAACCTAACCCCATAAATACGCACACATCACAACGGATCTCCTTCCCGGCCAGCGCTTTCACCACGCTTCCATCTGTCAGGTACAACCTCCACTTCTTCACCCCATCCCACACAGGGATACGTCCGTCGTAACTTACTAGTAAGTCACTTCCGGCTTTCATTGCAGCTCTCCCGCCTGGGTCTGGAATCGCGCGGGTCCAGTTCGATGACATGTGTATCGATCGCATAGTCAGCGGAGAGGAGGTGGATCCTTCCATATCAGGACGGTAACTAATTCCTAACCAGCGAAGTACACCATATGTACCAGCCTTTGGATACACGTGGAATATTGGAGTTTAGGCTCGAGAATAGTAGAGTCTAGCCATACTTACATATGGAATAGTTAGTAAGTAGTCCGTCTTACGATGCAGATTCATAAAACCCTATAATTGCTATCCAGAGTAAGGAATCTCGACACACCGAGTTTGTTTAAAAACGGGACAGCCCGGACAGCATTTCAATTGTGGATTCCGAGCCGGCACAGTTTTCCGTGAATACATGGGTTTTGATGCTGGTTCTTTGTGTCTCTCCGTTTCATCGTCGTGGGTTCGGGGTTGTTTTTGCATTAGCGGTTTGAGTTGGTTTTTGGGCTGTTATGGAGTTCTGGATCGGCAATGTTGGGTAGAGTAAGTACAGTTAGTACGGTTCATAATGGATTGTCTTGCTTGCATTGATGATGGTTTGATAAGTAGCATAACATTTCTTGCAGTGCAGTTGCAGTTGCAGTTGCAGCTGCGTGTTTGTTGTCGTGGTTCATGTTCGTTGGGCTGGGGCTGGGGCTGAGCTGGATCTTCGAGGATTAATGTACGCTGGAGGGAAAAAAATTTCTCTCGATTCCATTTGCTCGGGAATCCTTCCTTGGAATTTGATATTGAGTACTTGAAAATTTTCACTATTCTGACTGTGCTCGGCTGGATGGAATTGTGTATTGTTTCTTTTTTTAAAACATTTTATTTTTCAGATTGTTTGGAAAGGTTACAACAAATTTTGAATTTTCCTTCGGTGAAGAATTTTTTTCTCCGAACGGGATGAGGGGGCGCAGGTGAGGCAGAAGCGAGAATGTTCTGGACGACGCCGCAAAACCTCAATTTGGTAGGATGAGGCTGATTTTGATGAGTTGAAACCACTATTTCCAAAATAAGCCAAGTTTTTCTTTTATGTTTGCTTATCTCTTAGTATTCAGGTTAGTACCGCTATTGTTACTGGGTCAGGAACGGAGAAAGGGAATTCGAGATGTGATCGAAATGGTTCACGATAATTCAAAGCCTCAAGTGGGCCGTTTCGAGTCGCAGGGCGTATTTTCTTGAATTGGGATGTATTTCCGTCCATGTACAAGATAACGAATGAAGCAAGTGTTTCCAATTTGGGAATGAATTATGTAGTTGAGGTTAACGATGTTCATTCCATACTGCATAAACACCTTACGAAATGACCAGCAGTTTGTACCTTTGATAATCCGGGTTGTTGGTACATGAATACTTTATCATTCACCAGGTCATTGGTACGAGAACGAAAACTGCAAGATGGAAGTTTCCGGTCACCGAGTTATCTGGCTTGTATTGTTTCAAATGTCGTGGAAACTTCCATTGTTCTCTAAGACCCAGACTGAGTCTGAGACTTCATGTTTAACCTTACCACCAGCCCTGCAGCTACTTGTCTCCATGAGCCCATTCCTCAGTAAAAACATCTTAGTTCCTAAACGCCCGGCGAATTCCACATTCACAATCCCAACCCCTTCTCCGACGTCACACAACTAACTTCTGCACTTCTGCATCCATCTCTTCATGTTTGCTTTTCTCGTTACACTTTATGATCAATATCTTGCTCACTCACGTGGAACCCTAACACGACGCCCCGAAAAAAGTCTACAGAAACCACCTCATCGCGGTAAGTCCTACCGCACGAAGTACAATCTATACATTCCTTAGCGTTGACTCGGGAACCTGCATACGTCAAAAAAAATACCATCCTGTTTCATCTGCAACCTCAACCCCGATCTTCCACCGAAAGCCGTTACTGGCCGACGCAAGGAGGAATTGAGATCGAAGATTTTGCTACATTTTACTTGCTATTTTTGTTGGTACAGTGATACCGCAGTGTTTGTACGTCAAGATTCACGTGCACTGGCTTTTCTCTCTTCCCCTGAGCACTGAGAATTGTGGAGAATGGTTACATGCATGGTACATGTTTACTTTTCATCACTTTAATTAATGAATTGAATATTAAATCCGTCCTATTTCGTCTCTATTTACATTTTTTTAGTGTACAAGAGGCTTTTGGCGTAAGTTGTGATCGGTGGAGGGAGATATCATGCGGAGATCATGAGATGGGGTATTACTACTAGGTTATTGCTTCTTTCAGATATGTAATATAAGAAGCCAAAAAATACCGTCTGGTATTTTCATTTTCTCCTTTTTAAATAAGCGTACACCAACGAGATACATGCAAGGGAACATATCACAACACCTACATCGCAGTCTGCTGCGTGCAGCATCTGTTGTTCTCGTGATGTAGCTAAAGAGAATGCTGCTTTATGCCAGATAAAAATGTCGTGTCTAGGTATTTAAATGCAAAGAGCCGCACGTGGGAACAGGACGTGGGGGTCTCTAATACTATCATTTACATTTATCTACCACTGGTGCTGTGAGACCTTCTGATACTTGCAAGACCCAAGACTTTGACCCAAGGAGTAGGAAACCAAAATGTGGTCATCAGAAGTTGTATCACGAGTTGGTGATTATGTCTGCATGAATCCAAAGGTACTGCATTTTGTTCCTAACACGAGGATTATGTATAATCGGCCTAGATCTCGACGGAGTGATGCGGCCATCGGGTTTCCTGTCGGCCGGTAAAAGTATGTCACTTGTACTTTTAAGTAACATCACCTTTCACGATTAAGTATCGATGTGGTGTATGTACCCCGCACTATATAATTAGGGGATAGAAATAGCGGGCTACATCCGCCGGGTTATGATAACGCCATTGAACCACAGATTCGGAGTCGATTTTCTAGGCATGATCTGATTTTTACCCGGTGTTTTAAAGTTACCCGGTGGAAGGAGGATTTCTGTCGGGAGAAATAAGTTGAGGGATTTTTATGGTGGGTACTAATAACGGTTCTTGATAGTCCCGACTTGGGAGGATTTTCGGGGGTGTGATTGAAATCTAATACGGTCCTAAATAAATTAATCGGCTTGAGGTGGTTCCATGATGGAAAGTCGTCGGCTTTGGGAAATTATCATGAGAATCACGGATATGCGGTAATGCGGCAGCATGGGTATTAACATCGTTCTTCATGGGGGTGAGAGTGCGAATTGCAAGCTCCTGTGGTTATTCTGGTTTCTCATTCTAGTTATTGTCCACATCAGACAAAAAACAATAACAAAGTTTTCAAGAGTATCCTATTCCCAACTCGAACCTAAGAAATAACATCATGTTACAGAGTAGGAAATACGAGAAAGCAAGGATTTTGCCTCGTAAATAGTATCGTTTGAGTACGACTCGCGTCAAAACACCTAGACGACTTCATCACTGCATCTCCGTTTCACATCACTGATTGTTTCCTCATAAGTTGCCATTTGCTTAAACTATTGCTTGCAGTGAACTTATCTCCATATCTCCATTACATCTAAACATGTGAGGTTTTTCTTCCTCCCCGCAAACATTGCTACGTAAAACCATACGAGCTCGGAAATCTTCCAGCAGAAGAAGTGCAGTGACTAGGAAGGCTCTTTGGCAGGATTATCAGATGCATATGCGGATTCTTAATTTTCAGGTAATTTAGGGGTTTGTTTGCAAAATCCATTTCTCACCACAAAAAGGCCTCGCTGCTAGTAGACGCGAGGTTATATTCCGTTCCGTTCAGTTTCTTGATGGGAGATAATAGAAGAGATCCGTCAACATTGACAGATGATAACTCCTCTGATATGTTGAGCTTTCAGAGAGTGTATATATAAAGACCGGGAAGTTATAGAGGTAGCTTTTGTTAATAGAGCGAGTGGATAAATCCTCGATTTTGATGAAGATGACGCGGGATTTGTATCCATCGTTTAGTTCTGCTCTGTTTGTTATATATATGGGATTATAGTATTAATAGCCACGGATTAGTTTGTAAATAGTTTACTATTATTGTTATTTCTACCTATCTAGATAGTATCGATCTGTTTATTTATCTATGTTATCACCTATAAACCACCACTGTCGAATTCAGACTGTACCTTGTATGGAATAATTTCCATATATCTAGAAAGTTCAGGCTTGTCTAACATATACATACCCTTAAGTATTATGAATGTGAGCAGTCCTCGAGTGTATTACTTTCCCGGCTATCTTTGATTTAAAAACTCTTGGGTCTGGGAGCTCAGTACTATAGGTTGATTTGAAAGAATTCATATTCCTCGTACTGTTGAGATCACCATGAGTTATATACGGACTAAGACTTTGCCATCCTCAGTTCTGTATCGTCTTCAATGCTGATATCCATGTACTCAAGTGCCTGCATAGATAAGTCTCAAGAAAAAGAGATAATGATTCTGTAATCCCGTCTTAAATCTCCAAGAAAAAGCATTGTCATTGTCATTACCACTGCCGCTGCACATCATCGTATTATCATCTCACACATTTCACACTAATAAAAATCATACTAGTTACTCAATCCTCTCACTCTCACCTCTTCCACTATCAAACTCTCCTCCCAATTCCTAATTAAATAATTCATTCGATTTCTCACTCTCTCCCTACTCTAGAAGTTTCTACAAACAGTGAATTCATTGATACATTTTGATACTTGAAATAAACGGATTTATATACAACTTAATTATATACTAATAATCTGTTTATATTCCCGATTTAAAAAAAAAGTATTTCAGATTATATACTTATCCCTCCGACTGTCCTGATTAAGAGGTGGATAATCAATTACTAATTAATAAAAAAAAGAAATAATTATATATAATTATAACAGTATCTTCCTCATCGACTAGTCATCGTTATGTATAGTGTTACAATGAGAGTATGAATATAAATATTTAAGTCTAGTACCCTACTTTCCGGTCACCCCTCTTTCCAGACACCTTTTTACATCAAAAATCATCATTTTCATTTATTAATATTTCAACAACCAATTAATTAAATCGATTGAAATTTGAATTGTAGATTTATTATATAATTATCAATCAATCTTGAAAATTTTAGATTTTTCACTATTGATTTGATTGAGAATTGAAAGGTTAAATTTTTGAATTTTCAATTTGCATAGGATTTATTGTAACGATCTGGTCGAGGCAGCGGCTGCCTGAGGTTTCGTATGGTTGGTAGTTGTGGGTTAAGGCTAATAATCACTGATTATCCACTTGAAAGTGAATTCGTTATTAGATCAATTGGTAGATAGGTAAACTAATTGATAACTAAATTGAGTACGAAGCTTCTAAACTATAAAACTATTCTGATTATATACTAATCTCCTTCCTTGTATATTAGCTATACTAACTGATTAGCAAAGCTAACACATTATATGATTGATCCTAAGGCCTCTTCTATTCTAAGGCCTTTCCTTTCCTGAAACACTTGTCCCAAGAGCTTTCCCTTCAGGAACTATAGTTCTAGGATACAATATCCTCTAAGATGATTATCCTATTTCAACCAATTAGATAGGATACTTGTCCTATTCTACTATAATTATCTAAGATACTTATCCTAAGAATCCTGGGGTCCTAGGCTTAAGTAATCAGGACCCCCGAAAGCAACGGTTAAATCACACCCCCCCTATAGTCGGCATATAAATCACCAACATCAATAATACTACTATAATGAAAACCGTAAATCGTGACATTTATATACAAAATTGAAAAATTATTAAAACCTTCAATAACTTTTGAACAAAAATTATTAAAAATAAATTATAAATTTTTTTTTCAAATATTTATATTATAATTAATCAAATAAATCAATTTATTTATTTTAAAAAAATATTTTATAGAAATCCTTTTAATCAAAATATTATGATTTTTAATCCTTATAAAATTTATAAATATCAATAAAGATTTATTAAAAATTCAAAATCTTAATCTATTATATAATCTTTGATTTGAAGATTTCCAAAAAAATTATTGAAGTTTTTCAAGTTTTTCAAATTTGTATATAAATCTTATACAAATTAAAAATTGTAATTTTAACTTTCAATTTCTTAATTAATAAAATCGCGAAAAATCTGAAATTTTCAGAATCTATTAATAATTATATAATATATATACAATTCAAATTTCATCAAATCCTAATTATTAATTATAAAGTTATTAATAGCTGAAAATGATGATTTTTGGTATAAAAAGATGTCCGGAAAGAGGGGTGGCCGGAAAGTGGGGTACTAGACTTAATTATCTTTAATTCTTCATTATAAGATATCATTTCTTATATAATTTTGAAATTCTCAATACTTTATACTTGTAGTAATTGAAATATTTATTATTAAAAGAATACTTTAATTGTTAGATTAAAAGTAAAATATAATAAATATATATATTTATAAACAATCAATCAATTAATTAATAACAATATAATAATGATTATAATTTTAATAATAAAATAATCATTTATTCTTCTTCTTCTTCTTATCCTCATTCCTATTCTTATCCTTATTCCCAATCCTAATAATACACAAAAACACTCATAATCGTAACATCCATCCCCTTTCATACCTATACAACCCTTCAGTCCAAGTCCCAGTCCCAGTCCCAGTCCTGAGCTCAAGCACATCCGACCTGAAGCTATCCATCCCAATAATACATACACAGCCCCTTCACCCCATGGTATCATACCCATCCCCATGCCCATGTAATCAATCCTTAAAAATAACACCTTCGAATTCCCTAAGAATATACATACAAGCAAGCAAGCACCTCTTATTTCTTTCCCAGCGGTACAAATACTATACACCACGAGTCTAACCATAATACTCTTTTGAACTCCTAACGTTAACCCATCCAAAGTATATCTATTCCTCATTCCTTGGAGAGAAAAAAAATACTGTTGAACTCAAAACATGAAATGTTTCTTCCCAAGCCCAGTACCCCTACCATGCCCTCGCTCCCCTAATAGTTATCAAAAGAAAAGAGAAGAAAGTAACATCAGGATTGATACAAAGTCGAATCCGGTATGAAAGGAACCAGGATAAAATATACAAACTCTTAACACATACGCTCATCACAAAATACAACCCATTAAGAGAACCACAAAGATCGTACAAACTCGACATGACCTTCAAACCATCATAAATCCTTAGGCAACTTTTCCCTTAAAGAAAAGCATTACCACGAGGACTAGCATCACTCATCGCTTGGGAAATCCTCTTAGCCTTCTGTCTCTCTGCCCATTCCCTACTAGCCTGTCTACCCTTCTCCGCAGCTTCATCTCTAGAACGTTTAGCAGCCGCCTCACGGTCTTTCTTCTCCTTCTCAATTTCTGCCGTATACTGCGCATCTCTATTATAAAGTTCCTTTGCACGTTGACGTTGCGACTCTTGATCCGAATCAGAGACCGTACGTTGCATGGTCACACGAGGATTATGAGGATGGGAAGATGCTTTGCGTGTAAGAGGTGCAGGTGGGGCTTTAGTGCGTGGAGATGAGCTGGTTACGTTGACTTTTTGCATGTCGAGAATTGATGGACGATGTGCGCCGACTATAGATCCGCGCTTACTTAAAGTAAGACCGCTAGTATCACTACTTTCACCACCTGTTTTGCTTTGACGGGCACGACTGGCGGCTGTATCGCGAGGAAGAGTGCGAGAAGCAACAAATTTGCTCATGGGTCTAGCCTTGAATTCACGTCTTTTGCGATCTTCTTCTTCTTGAGCTTTGACTCTTGCCTCATGTGCTTCCCTTTTACGCCTGGAGTATGCTTCGCCAGGCAGCTCAAATTGAGAGGATTTGGTGGGTGGTTTTGTTGACTTGATCCTGCCTGGAGTAGTTTTAACAATAGTCATCTCAGATGATTCTCGCTGCGCGATACGTGCTTCTCTTTGTTCCTTCAACCGCTTAGCGACAGCATCACCAGGAAGCTCAAAGATTGCTTTGGTAGGTGGCTTCGTAGATTTTGTTGGCGACTTCGGAGGAAGGAGACTAGCTGGGCGTGGTACTTTGCTTGGAGATACCATTGTTTGTTTTTCTGGGCTGACAATGGGTCTAGAACTTTCGAAAGTCATCGACTTAGCCTTTTTGAGAGTTGGTTCTTTGGTTGCTGTAGGCTTGACACGTACTGTTGCGTAGGTGGATTTTGGTCTTTGTGAAGATGATAGAGTACCACGCACACGTACGCGCAATCCAGTGGCAGGAATTTCCTCAATGAATCCTCGTCTGAGCGATTCTCTTGAATCACTCTCAGAGGAAACTTCAGTTGGAATAGTGACCTTCTTGGTTGAAGTAGCAACAAATTTCTCGACGGTGGTAGCTTCATCAAGTGCGTCAATAGCATCCTCCAGATTGTCAAGCTCCTCCAAGGAATCTTCGATACGGGAAACTGGCTTAGCTGGTGATCGACTTATTATTATGTCAATGAAGGAGTCCTCTTCAACTCCAGCTGAAGAAGAATGACGAGCAGGAGTTGCTGCCTCCTTAGCCTCATAAGCTCTTTCGATTTGCTCCAGTGTTTTGACCTGCTTTGTCAAAGGGTATTTGACAGAAATAGCCGGACGATCGTTCTCATTCGAGATTGATCGAAGCTTTTCTGCTGTAAAAGACTCGATATTCTTTGTCTCTGTTTTGACACTATTCTTCATCGCTAAAGCATAATAGGGATTAGTGTTATGTTCATGTCTCTGTTGAATGAAATTTCCAGTTCGCAAAAGAAAGGGAGGACCAGCGAAAGAAGATTGACTATAACTGGAGGCTTGAGGTGATTTCCAGAAAACATCTCCAGTGTCGGCCACTCTAGGAAATGAAATACCTCCATCATACTGACCTGCTTGCTGTCTCGCAACTTGACCTCGAGTGATTCTTCCTGACTGTGGTAATTGATGAAACATAGCTTGTTCCATGATTTGAAGTGGTTGTACGGATCTCAATTGATCAGTAAGAATCCTCGGAGACTCGGAATTTGACATGGGCATTTCAGGACGGACACCAGGTGGGTTTGCAATAATTCCTGAAACAGATCCTGTATTTGGAGTGGCTTGAATAGAGTTTGAATGACCGACGATACTCTCACTGCCTTCGACCTCTTGGATGATATCCTTGGTATGTTCTATCTCACTCGAATATTCTTGCTTTCCCTTGGTCTTGTTCTTGTTGTGCTTTTTTCCTTTCTTTGTGATGCCGAGAGCACTTCGATATGCAGCTTTAAGGTTTTTCATATGTTGTGCGAGGTCCATGTCCTCGCTCTCATGAAGCGCCATGGTATTTAATCCGTGTGCGTTTGAAGTAGCCAATACCTTTGAAGCAGGTGTCAATGGGAGTGGTATTTGGGCAGCAATGGATGCAGTATTATCCTCCGCGATATTGATCTTGACTGAGTTTGTTACTCGAGACATCTTGACCGTGAAATGTCACCGGTGGCCTATGAAGAAGTCGAAGGTTAGAGCTTAGAAGAGAAGGTGAAGATCGTCGTCGTGTCTCGGAAATTAGTTGTGATTGGAATATTGGCAAAGCGATGAGTTTGCAAGGATTGGTGGAAATTGCGATCTATTTGAGTGACGGTCGTATTCTGTACGGAGTATTCGTAAAGTCAATAGAAATGTAGGACCAAGACCAAGTGTGATGAGGTTTTTGTAATTTTTCCAAAATCTGAGGTATTTCGTTGATTGATTTTGTTAATTGTTGCGTGAATAAGTTTGTCCACGTCCATGTCCATGTTGATGCAAGATATTCGTTTGCTCCCGTCGCTACAATGTGACTTCCCATCATATAATTATTTGGGGGGTTTACATCATCACTACAGCAACCAGGTACGAAGAGTAAAGTACAGACGTAAAGCTGAGGGAAGGCGCGACTGTGGGGCCGAGATGGTTAAAGCTCTTCTATTTTTGGACGAACGTTGTAAATTGTTACGGGTTAATTAACTCCCCGTTCCAAGCTAGTGTTTTTGCCTCAGGCATTCTCAGGATACTCCACATAGTCAAGACTGTGTCAAGGATACTTACTTGCCTCCAACATATCATTGCCGGCACCAATGATAACTTTCACGTCAGACGTATCTCTCTTAAATCATGCCAATGTAACTTATATAAAATAGATGCATATAAGGTCACCCCTTTCAATTCCTGTAAGTACCTACTAATTACCGTGCATCCAATCTAGAAGGAATAGTCAATATCATACATAAGGCTTACAACCCCATCAATAGCCCTAATTTCTCCATTTAGGAAACAACACCTGAGCTTACAAGATCCTACAAATCAATCCAGCGATGATCAAAAATCCCATACAGAGGATAAAGTATCACCCTTCATTCATACCAACTATCGCCCTATATATAGAAGCCAATCCTAATCCACAATCCACAATCCACAATCTCCAATCTCCAATCTCCAATCCCCAGTCCTTAATCTCCAAACTCCAACCTCAATCCCCAATCACCAAACTCAATCTCTAATCTTTAATCCCCAATCTCAAACCTCATCCTCAATCTCCAAACCCCGAACCTCAATCCACAACTCACTCTCCTTCCGTTCCCTTCCCCGAACAAGCCCATACCTCATCTCGAAAAACACCCCAATTATCAACCATCAACCATCAACCATCAACCATCAACCATCAACCATCAACCATCAAACACAAAATACCCAAATAATATACCAACACATATCAGCACTCCGATTATATCTATTATAGCAATCCTGCGTATCATACCACCTCCTCGAGCTCTACTAAACTCTAGCGATCGTTCTCCCTCCCTCCTATCAAAGAGCGTCAAACTTTGTATTTCCCTTTTTCTTTTTGTTCTTATTGGTTTTTTATATATATCTAATCTGATATCTTTGCCTATAATTTTCAATCTCAATTTGTACTTTTCAATTTCTATTTGGTAATCTACTCCAAGCAATACGAATTCCATTTTGTAAGAAAGAAGCCCTTTCTACTCATACAGTAGTGTGATAGTATCCCCTCGCTTATACATAGTACAGTCTTCCTTATCTGGTGAAGCAGCGGAATGAAACGAGATGAGAGAAAACAAGAAGAAATAATAGAATAATAGAATATTGGATTTCGATTTACTTTATCTTCATCTTCACATTCACCTCCACATTCACCCTCACATTCACCTTCACAGTTCCTATCCTTCCTTCCGATATATCCCGACGAATAAATTGACAAGTAGATAAAACTGGTAAGTACCTAGGTAGCTAGGTGTATATTGTATTTATTTAAGAAAAAGTTGAGTGATTGTATTGCCCTGTCCAGCAACAACACGATATCAGAAACCCTCCCCATTCCTCTCTATATAAAGAATCAATCAAGTCAGCAAGCAAGCAAGCAAGCAGTCTTCCCATCAAAATTTAAATCTACATATAACCTAGGAGTACGTACCTACCCAGTACACAACCAACATAACATATCTATTTCACCTCAATTGAAATATACTTCCTTCTCTTGCTTCCTACTTCTCCTCTTTGCAACAGCACCACAAACTACACGCGCAAAATCCACCCCATCATGCTCTCTCCCATCCCTCCCATCCCTTCCGCATTTCAAACACCGGTACCGTCACCCCCAAAAATAAAAATAATCTTCGTCCTTGGCCCTCCAGGCATCGGAAAAGGAACACAATGTGCACTCCTCACACAAACACCTCTCACACATTCACCTCTCACACAAACTCTCCCTCCTAAGACCCTCCCCCCCACCATCCACCACCTAAGCATCGGCGAAATCCTCCGCACCGAGCTCTCAAACCCTCATAGTAAATGGGCTTCTATAATCCGCACGAACATGGCTTCAGGAAGAACCGGACCTCCAGAAATGACGGTCTCGATGTTGAAGTCTGTGATGGAGGAGAAGATGAAGATGAAGAATGTGTCGCAAGGAGAGGGAAACGAGGGAGGGGAGATTGTATTTTTAATCGATGGTTAGTTACCTACCTTGTCGCCTATAGCTAGTTAGTTGCTATTTTCATTTCGCACCTAAAGAGAGTTAGATATCTTGATCACTGCTACCCAAGTATCCATCCATCCATCCATCTCCCCCCTATCCCTGCAAACGCACTAACCCAACCCCTCACCAGGCTTCCCCCGCAGCACCGACCGAATCCCGCTATTCGAATCCAGCATTTCTCCCCCAACACTCGTACTCTCCCTCTCAAGTCCCCTCCACATTCTCCAAGAAAGACTTCTATCTCGAGCCGAAACATCTAGTCGGATCGATGACGGAAACGAAATTATACAAAGGAGATTCGAACAGCATGTTTATGCTACTCTACCTGTGCTTGCTCATTATAGGGAACGGGGATTACTTGTTGAGATTGATGGGAGTGGGAGTGTGGAGGCTGTTCAGGAGGAGATTCGGAGGGTGGTGGGGAGGGTTTTGGGGTTGTGAGGATTTATTAATGTATTAATGTATTAATGTTATGAGTGTTAGGGGATAAGGGAGGGGGTTTAGATGTTGATGGGTTTGCGAGATTTTGATGGGTGGTATGGTGAAGTGAGGTGAAGTGAAGGGAAGGAAATAGAGATAGAGATCTAGATAGAGCAATACGGTGAATAGATGTGATGGATGATACCGTACCACTCCATGAAAGCGATTAACCTCTGCACAGTTAATAAAATCAACGATCGGTCTCAAAATCTTTGAAGCCTCTGATAGAAATACTTAATATTTATTATAAATACCCCGGATAGCAACATTTTAACTTTCGATACCCTATCTACCTACCTCGTTTAGCAATCAGTGATAATATTCTACTTTTGACCCTAATTACCTGAAAATAATTATTATTTAAATATAGATCTAATAAATAGAGTAGTAAATAAGATTACGGAAGCAAATAACTTATTATATTACATTATATTATATCATCTCAACACCACCTTATAATTACTTCACATCTAACAATCTCCACCTCTATATTTCTCACCCATGAAGCCCTTAGACTGACTGTACGCGTCGGTCGCTACAACAAAATTACAACTCGACCAACACAATAGATTATCAATCAAAAATATTTCTTTTCCGGTAACTAGTAATTAGCTCCTTTATATATATACATACATCCACACATCACATCCCATCACATAACTACACGATCTACGCCTAGGTATATAAGATTATTATTTCCCACAAGGTTATAAGATTTTATATTAAAGCTAGATCTAGATGGTAATTAATTGCAATTTGGAAATATCTTACATTCTATTCTGCTCACAGCACAATTGCAACCTGGCCATGGACCGGGAGAATGAAGAATGGAATTGGATATTTCAGAGTCGTAGCCACAGCTACGGCTACGGCTACGGCTACGGCTTTTACACATGCACATGCACATGCAAGAGCGCTAGCATATATCTGTGAATCTGTGATAGCAAATTTTGCGAATTATGAAATATGGAATAGATGCTTATACCTAGGTAGTTATGGGAGATACTGTCTAAGCAAGATGAATAATACTGTATAAGAGCTCTTAGGTTAGTCATGCCTTAAGTAATTATATTAAGCGACCGAGTTCTTGAAATGAAACTCTAATGGAAAATATACACTAGGCTCGCGCTGAACACTTGCGATTAATGAGACCATTGCACCAATAGCATCACCAATCATCGCATCACACCACTAAAACTAAACCGCAAAGAAAAAAAACCTCAAATCCAGCGCAAGACTGCCCCCCCAAACATTCCAATCTACCCCATCATCAATTTGCAATTTACAATTTCCCCATTCTATTATCAACAGATATCTTCAGAACAAGTTCCAAGCTATTGGACTGAATGACTTCAAACAAACCCCCCTTCCCAGCAACTCTAAGCTTCTCATCCTCCCTCCTAAAAAATTCCTCCGCAGTCTTAATCCTACCCGGATGAATCCTATCCAAAAGTGCATAATCTCTCTTAATAACCCCAATATTCCCCCCCGAATTCGCCCACATAGTCCAAAATCCCGAAAAATTATCTTTGAAGCTCATAGTTGCGGGATCTTTTGGATCGGCATTATATCCAGCGGGTTCGTCCTCGGCAATGGGCATGTGCTTGAAATAGATATCTTTTGGGACGTCGATGTAGCGAGCTGGTTTTCCTGTTACTTTTTCGAACGCGGCGGCCATATCTTCGTATTGGACATGATCAATGGAGACTTCTAGGTCCATCCCATCGGATTCCTCAGGGTGATCAAATAACCAGCGGACGTAGTGCTCGCAATCATCGAGGGAGACGTGTGCAACCGCGCCTTTGCCAAGCGGAGCTCTCCAAGTGACAACCCCGTCCTCGAATCGCGGGGTCATGATGGTCTTCGCCGTGATAGTCATCTCCATGTACGGACCGGTAGTGAAAATGGCGACACCCATATTGTTGCCCTTCCTCTGCTGTAGAATCCACTCCGCAAGACGCCCCTTGCCATCATAGTGTCCGACCCGAAATTCTGGCTTGTAGCCGCTCTTCTTGTAGACATAGTCAAGGTTTCCAAACACGAAAAACTTGATACCCAGCTCAACCGCCAGCTCATAAGAGCGGATGGTCCAGTAGGTCTCAGTTTTTTCGCCGCAGTTGAACCCATCGATGTTGATGAAGGCTCCCCAGCACCCTTCAAGCCCCTTGCGGAGATCGCCTTCATTGGCAAAGGTCCCCTCGACGAACTCGACATCTCCCAGTTTAGCAAGCTCCCGTGCTCGAGCTGATGTAGAGTCGCGCGTCAGGACGCGCAAGCTGTATCCACCGTCCTTTGCGAGTCCACGGCATACAGGTATGCCTTGGGCGCCAGTAGCACCAATCACGAAAATGCGGCGTTGAGTCATCTTTGATTTCGAAGCTGAATTTGTAAGAAGCTTGCTGATGTTTTGGATGACCATGAAGAAAATGGGTCTTTATATGCAATTGACGCGAGTAGTGGTAGGTGCTTAAGATTAGTAACATAGCCGTGATTAATGATCTTGTAAATCATTAGTGGGCTAAGTCCCAGAGCGTCTTTGATTGCACCCTGCTTGCAAACCTTGAATCCTTTCAGCCGGCGTAACATTAATACCGGCAGCACTCTAATCAACATGACGCTATATCGAACTGCAAATTAAAGAGCAGTATCTTAGCTGAACTATACACAAAGAGTAGAGTCAAGCGGGGTCGAAACTGATGCGTGTAACTTGGGGTAGCAGTTAGTGATCACGAAGCCCATTGGCTGAAACAACTCCCAGAGCATGTATTGTAATCGATCCGGCAGGCTTACAAAGCCTGTAAGTAGGTAGCATCGGCGTTAGGTCCTAATATTCGCAGAAGCATGATCAGTAATCTCAAATGGGCATACGCGGCCGCTATGACCAAAAACGGGGAGGTTTGTCAGAAAAGTTGGCTGTAAAAAGATGTGTTCACTAATCAATGATCTTGACTCCAGATGCACGAATAAGTCTAGTACCCTTCCTACCTTTAGGCCACTAGTGGGCGCACGGACTCGTGAGACCTCCTGCAAGTAAATTACGAAATCACAACAAAGTCTCACATTTTCAATTTTTAATATAAATTCAAATATTCAATGAATTTGTCTAAAATTGATATTATATATAAATAAGATTAAAACTTATATATTATTATAAAAATTAAATTATTACTATCAAAATTAAAAGTTTTATTAGTTAATTTATTTTCTTTATTAAAAATTTATATAAATTAAAAGAAGATCATTTTTTAATTTAAAATTAATAATATTTATTTGAATCTATAATATATAACAATTGAAAATCCAAATAATATACAATTAAACTTTTTATATAAAATATTATAAAGTGAAGTTTTAAATCAAAATTAAAAATATAAAATATAAAAGTTAAAAATTAAAAATTTAAATTTTAAATATAATTTTATAATTATATATATTTATTAATGAGTTATTTTTTATATCAAAAATAATAAAAATCTATTTTAATAATCTTTTCATTTATTAATATACATTTTTAAAAATTTCTAATATGAATTAATTAATTATATAATAATAAATCTTAAAATTATGAAAAATTTATATAATCTTATAAATTTAAAAACTTTAAAAACTTGAATAATTTATTAATAAAATTCTTAAAATAAACATCAATTTTTTTCCTTTTAAAAAATAGCAAAAGTTATTTTAAAAATCTATGAAAATTATAAATGAATAAAAAATTAATTAATTAATTATATTTTAAAAATAATATTAAAACTCTTTATTATAATTATTTTAAAAGTCAAATAAACAATCTTTTATATATAAAATATTAATAAATTAATATTAATATATTATAAAAGAGCTTTTATAAACTTTTATAAAAAAAAAAACAAATAACTTTTGATATGAGAAGATGATTCAAGAAAGAAATGATCCAAAAGTAGAGTACTAGACTTAACTTCATCGAAAAAGATACAATATTGCGTATACCTGTCTAGTTCTTTGACAAGGTCCCATCATAGTATTATATTATTGCAGTAAATGCTTACAGGAGCACAAGACCAAAACGAGTATATAAACAACAGACTCAAGCCATCTCATCATCACAACAAACAACCAAACAATCATACACAACTTCCAAACTTTACAGTTTTTAAAAATTTCAAATCTCAACAGTCCTCCAGTCAACTTCGACATAATGGCACCAACGAAAGAAATCCTCGTCATCGGCGGCACAGGTGCTCAAGGTATTCCTGTAGTGAAAGGTAAGTGACCTCGCCCAAATAGACCAGTTCAATTCATTAATGACATGAATGTAGCCCTTGCTGGGAGTGGACGATACACTGTCCGAGTCTTGACTCGAGACATCAACTCTCCCCGCGCTCAGGAACTCGTCGCTCTGGGAAATGTGACTCTTATCCAGGGCCATCAGGATAACCAAAAAGACCTTCACAAGGCTTTCCGTGGCGTGTATGGCGCCTGGGTTAACACCGATGGCTTTACCCTCGGGGAGAAGGACGAGCTCTTTTACGGTTTCAGAGCGTACGAGATTGCCCGAGGCGAGGGTGTACAACACTATGTTTGGGCTAACATTGAGTATGGCCTCAAGATTGCCAACTGGGATGAGGATTATCACTGTGGTCATATGACCAGCAAGGCAAGAATTGGCCAGTTTATCCTTGCCCAGGGACAAGAGGGGATGAAGACGTCACTCTTCACCACTGGGCCGTACATGGACATGCTCCTGGGTGGCTTGCTCGTACCCATTGAAGATTCGGATGGGACTTTTGTATGGGCAAATCCCTCAAGTAAGCGCTCCAAGCTCAAAATGTCTCTGGCGTAGAGTGAGGCTAATTTAATTCCAGAGGACGGCAAAATCCCTTTTATTGCCCTTCAAGATGTAGGGGTCTACAATCTTTGGCTTTTTGACAATCCGTCTGAGGCCGCTGGTTTTGACCTGTCAGTTGTAACGGATAGTGTCAGCTTTGCAGAGGTCGCGGAGACCTTCACCAAGGTCACGGGCAAGAGAGGTGTGCACAAGTATATGACCGACGAGGACTATAAGAAAGTGGCTGAGCCGTATCCCGGTGCCTATGTCAACTGGAGCCTTGGTCCAGATGTACACCGAGATGAGTCTGTCATGCTCTGGGCGGACAATTTCGCGGCATGGTGGCGCTATTGGGGCGAGGGCGTTACGCCCCAACGAGACCTTGGTATCCTGGATCGCATCCATCCTAATCGCATCAAGAGTCTGGAAGAGTGGATGAAACTGGTTAAATACGATGGGAAGCGCAGAAATGTGCTAAAGATGGTTGAAGACTGGGAAGTGAAGGTAGGTGCTCCGTACGAGCCGGAGAAAGCCGCGGCTCAGTGAAAGAGCTTATGGTTTAGTTTCACAAAGAGTCGTGGAAGTGAATAATCATAGATAGTCTGTCAATTCTGTGGAGATTTAGGCCGGAAATATCTCTCTCGCGTGTTGTAGTGCTAGCTGAGCCTGGCGGCGGCATCAAAGTTTAGCTCGCCCATAGGTCCATATCACGCGGGGGAGGTCTGTATCACTAGTCGTTACCTACTCTATAGCATAAACTTTTCTAGCATAAGGATGCGACTTTTGATTCAGAGCAACGATGTGACAGACCAAAATGTGCAACGATTGGGACAAATCTCTGTCTTGCATTATCCTTAAACCCTTTTTCCGTTCTTCGCGGAAAGAAAGGGAACATGTAGAAAATTAGAAACACGTGATTCCCCGGCCAAGGAGTCGATGTATGGCTGCATCGAGTGGTGGCTGAACTATATACCACACCGTATTTGGCAGGTAGTTCCCCTCGCACAAGCAGACAAACAAAGGACAAGAATTGAATACCCCAAAGGGCCAACCTGTTCGTCGCCTTTCGATTTAATATATTATTGAAAGGTTGTGTTGTGTATCAAATTGAAGTAATTTGAAACACAAAATAGTTTAGGCTTTAGCGATTCGTGTAACGTTTCACGGGAAAAGAAAAAGCTGCTATACCCCGATTGCCAACAGTTGTTAAACGAGGTATCGAAAGTTACAGTGTGGCTATTTGTGGCATTTATCGTAATATTTATTGCCAGTGTTGATCCAGAATCGTTTACTCAAACCGCCGAACAATCGATATTCATCGTCATCCTGCTGGATTCTTCCATGTCCTCCACAGCTTCAACAGTGAAATGTGAAGCCAATTTGAGACAAAGCAACCGCACTACTCTATTTCTTCCTCCTCGTACCATATGAATCTCAACAACGACAAAAACAACTTCCAAGCTAGTATTTGGGACTTTGGGGGATATAGCGATGCGATCACGTGAACTTTCACCCCAAAACCATTAAAAGGATGTTAACCACAAGAACCCGCACGCGTTAGAAGCTAGGATAATATCCCTAGCTTTCATCTTGCCGGTTTCCATTTATATAAATGACCTCTGGCAATGACCTCCACCACTGAATAACAAACTCGATACTATTCGAGTTTCTTAAGCCAAATAATTGATGGCAATACGTGAAGCAAACTCCTTTCCTCGTTTAAAGTCAACCAGTAAAACAGGTGAATGAATTGAAATAAAAAAACAAAGTGTTACTCCATGGCATTATATAGAGAATGCATTCACGTCCTACTGAGACATAAAACGGAAAGCGAATCAACGCTCGAACGGATCTCGTCTGAAGGCACTTGAAAATGGAGTATGGACACGTGTCTAGCGTCAAAATAGGCACTCGCACTCAAATAAACCCGGCCACTGACCGAAGTTTGTAATGAATCACCTGCGCGCATCATCGCCGTCGGGTGAATTCACTTATAAAATTATATAAACAGAGCTATCTCCCCAGTTACCACAGAATGTTCTAACCTCTTACAAACACCAAAACAATCCAAACAATTCATCGATTTTTGCGCGCGCACATTTGACAATCTTCGAGATCACTCAACAGATAGACAAACAAATAAACAAACAACGAAATAAAACAAAATCTACTGCACTTATTGTTACCAAGATGGAAATGGACTTGGAGATATCCCCACATGCCGGGAGATCAGAGGTTCAAAGTCAAGTTCCTACTTCGCCCCACTTTCAAAATCCCATGCAATACCTTCATGGCGCATGCAGCCACTGCTATCGCGATGATGGTAGGGATATTAGAGACAAACAATTGGTTTCGTGTTACCAAGATGGCGAACTGGATCCATTCACCCTTTTCTTGCTAACTCCTAGATGGTGTGTAGATTGTTTGGCTCAGAGAGAAATGGCGATTAGGGCTTCTTATTGTGATCGTTTGATAGAGATGGAGTCGGTGGAATTTCCGATTGGTACGGTGGAGGAGGCCTATATTCGTGGTGTAAGTTGATGGTTGTATGCTCGGTGTCCAGGTGCATCCGGGTATGAGTGGTTAAGTCTTTCATCAAGTTATTAACACCTTTCAGGTACACGATGGACGGATCAATGCCCTGTCTCAATCATTCGAGGATTGTGGAGTACGGCCAGGGGAGCATAACGGCAGTTCTATGGTGGATGATATCGACGAAGTTTTAAGGAAGTTGACAAACATGGGACTTGGCACTGCTAAATCCAACGAGGATAACAAAATTGATGAAATTGTCCGAGATTTCAACGATCAGATGATGTTAGAAGACGACGAACTGAAGTACGAAGTTTATTGGCACTTGGCATACATGGAAGGAACGAAAGATGGTTCCTACATGCAAGCACAGATTGAATACAAAGCACTTACGATGGACGATCCGGAACGAAGTGAAATGCTGAGGAGAGCTGTGCTGTGAGGAAATAGACCAAGTGGTTATGGAAATCAAGGACTCGGCAGTTGTCTTGCGGGGTATACTGTATTTTGAGTTGGGTCTGATCTCGGAGTTAAACTTGAGCTGAGCATTTTGTATCTGGGGAAAATGTCTTGTGCACTGACTTTTATTGTTGATTTTGGTCGATAGAGTCATGGACAATGTCCGTGGCATGAATGAATCGACGAGACTATTGAGGACAATGAAGTTAACTTATTATGCGATATTACGCAGGCTGAGTTCGAGCATTTCGAGGTTATTCCCGAATTTGGAACTTTCTGGATTCCCTTGAACACAACAAATCTATCAATATCAACCCAAGGAAGTACCGTTCCAAGTGTTGAATGGAAAGCTAGACCCTTGTCATGGTGACCGGTGAGTTGGAGGAATGTCTGCCTTGCGGGTGAGAGTGAGTGAGAGTGAGATTTGTGTAACTTGACATTTCTTCAACAACCCTGGAAGTGTCACTTAGGTAGAGTAATGTAGGGGTGTGCATATGTAATCGGTGGGAAACTGGCCCGAGATTGCTGACTCTTCTTGCAGACACGGGATGAGACGGAGATGAGAGGCGTAAAGGTAAGGTAATATATATGGTTTGATTTCTGCAGATGCGAATAATCTCAGCGATGGCGTAGGTAAGCTTTGTTATCAATTTACCCATTGGGCAGTATGGAATTTACGGTTGAGTTGTAGTGTTGCTTGGGTTCCACGTGTGTGACGCGAACTTTGGTAGGTTGATGAACTTTTCTAGAAGATGGCCACAGTGGGCCGACCCTATTTGGCGCTAGGCTACGGTCGGAGTAGCATCTGGCGTAAAAGATATAAATGGAAACATGGTCTGTATCAAAACCGTATGCGACGGTGGTATCTCCTTAGCCTGAGCTTGAATCCTTATGGTTTGTAATAGCTTTCCGTATTTATGGCCCTTGATACTTTTGAAAAAAAATACTTTTCTAAACCAGCTTTCTTTTCCTCAAGCCCGTCGTTAAGAGGTGGCTATTTGGATGGAGGGTTGGTGCTGGAAACACCGCTAAGAAATCTTATCCCTGTTAGATTTCATGGCCCCATACAAGCTCTCAACTTTCGTTCTTACGGCTGCTGACTTGCATAATCCCAAAAAGCAACTTGAGGAAAGTTCCCGTGTGGGAGTTAAACGGGGCCGATCTTAAAAGAAAAGAAAGTCAGTACACTAAGAAGTTTTCAGATGATATTGTTTCACCATTGCCCAGTGATTTCCAAATGATCGTTTTACCAAGACTCTTGATTTTTTGGATCAAGAGCTGCTGAGCATTGAAAATATTGAAACCCGGAATGTGCATGATGAATCATGATAAAGCGTTACGACCCGCGGAGTCAATCAGAGATGCTGCAGTGATAAGGAAAAGGCGGAGAGGTTACTGCATGGAATATGCAGGTGCAAAAGGTAGTTTTTTTTCTCCATCTAAGCTACTGCAACATCATGGAGGGTTCTTCGCAAACCAAGTCCTTTTTGTACAACCTTATTGAGCTGATCTCTCTTGAAACAGCACATTGCAGCCTTCGAAAAGCCCCATGACACCACCTGTAATATAGACATGGTTTAACCAATTATATTAACATCCCTCCCTATATGTGATAGTGTCGACATGGCGACAATGGATCAATAAGTAGCAAGTACCTATGAGTACAAGGAATAGCCCGAGTAGAATCAGCATCGTCGTCATCAAATTTCAAGGCTGTTGAAGTCTCGGAGATATTTACTGAAGATCGTTTCTATAATGGCACCATTACCAAGGAGGAACTAAAAGTGCAAGCAAAGTGGGGAAGAAGCAAGCCATGAAGCTTCAAACCTCAAAGACAGTTGCGGAGTATCCTAAATCCAGCCATATCATGTATGTTATAAGGTATAATTTGAAGCTTCCCTCCCAACGAGGAAGGTATATATGTGACAAGGACCTCGGGAGTTATAAGTGTATTTCCTTCTTCTTCTTCAGTTTCGGTAACGACTGCGACAGAAGGAGGAACCGCAGTAGTCCAGACCACGTAAATACTCCGCACCTTCTTGTTACGCCCATATTTCAAGGTCTATGAGAGTGCCGGATATTACTACGTGATAGATAAATGCCAAAGTCTCCAATGGCAAAATAAGAATATGCTTTGCGACCAAAATAAGCCTTGGGCCAACGATCAATCACCCAAACTGATAAATACTCAAATCACAGACATTGTCGACAGACTGAATCGTATTTTCGTAGCACCGAGTAGCTTTTCTTTCTGGGCTACTCGGGATATCTTCGTCTAGAACTAGAGGAACCTTGGCACCAGCCTCAACGGGTGTCTGTTATTTTGTGGTTTTGCCATCCGATCCTTGGTTTATGATTACAGTCGATGTTTTCGCAGCTTATTTTTCATGTACCCGAGTCGTCGATGGGTATCTCGAGAATCAAATCTGGTCAGCCAAACAAAGGAACAATCTTACTACTACTTGCTACCTAGTACTTACTGTGTACTCCTACAAAGACGTTGCTCCCCATGAACATTATATTATTACGTTGCATTGCACAAGATACCACCAAGCCTTCCCCAGGAATCCTTTTAATCAACCGTCAGCTTCAGCTATGACAACTTGGGCCGTCAACAGACATAATCATAGTCATAAATAGATAATCTTGACCCTCCACTACTCATGTATGTATCAGCAGTCATGTACCCTCGGAAATGCTTTCGGAGGTCGGATCATCACCCTACAACATAGTATAGTGCAGGATTATGGTGGTGATAGAAGCATTACGAACTGGAGTAGCAACTGCCACAAGCTGGTCAAATGTTTTCATCTCAAATCGGATCAATCCATCAAGGTCCAGCCCAGTCGCTTCTCATCACCCATTTGACCCAAAGATTCAAGACAGCCGCCAATAACCCGATACTTCGGTAATTGACCTTTTCATCCCATCCTCCACCCTCCACCTCCAGACTTGTACCGCGCCTCAAATGAAAAGCATGTATCCCCTGAATGTTTGACATTCGCACACTTTACCCAAAAGAATTCTATCGCTTCAGGGTCTTTTTGTTAGTGCAGTGCTATTTCTTGCAGGGGTAATTTACGGATCCTAGACTTTCTAGTTCCTCCCGCTGGTTCCTCCGCTGCAAAAAAAAAGGTACGCATCTATCTGACACCTGAATGCAGCTCAACCTATTATCTGGGGTCCTAATTCTGTTTACATTCTTTCCCTAGACTTTTCAACCGTCCATCTCCATCTCCATCTCCATCTCCATCTCCATCTCCATCTTTATCTCCATTTCCATCATCCATCATCCTCTTCGGGATGAAAAGGTCTCTTCTTTCAATAAACGCACCACAAGCAATTAATTTTATTTTTACCTCTCTATACCTTAAATTAATATCAAAAAAAAGTCGTTAACCTTAGAAAATAGTTTGGGGTCCAGATATCCTTCCTATTGGCTATTTCCGCTCTCGGAACATTGGATCTCTTTGGATCTTGGTAACCAGGTACGCTCAAAACATTGTTCCTGTTCATCACCACCAATCTTTCTTTTTGTGGGCATTCAATTTGGGAAGCTGTGTCTAGATATGCTTGACTTTTCCTCACAAATCACAGTTTGTTTTTTCCATCTTACAACTTTATACCTTTTTCTTTTGCAATATTCTCCAATTATCACAGTCCCCAGCTTTTAATTTGTATATGATTCAAGGCGTATCACCACATGAATTGCCTTACCTCGAGTCAGTCCTTGTGCATTGACTGCCTATACAAGCCCTCTTCCAGATAAACTTATACAGTCTTACCAATTCACATATCTATATCATACGTTTTTGTCTTGTTGATATATAATTGCCTATACTGATTTGCATTGAAAGCTGTTAATACAGGTCATTACTCAGATCTGAGCACTTTGTCTCAATGTCCCGTTTGACCTGATCAATTCATCCAAAGCAGTCGTTCGACATCATCCTAATTGACGACTTTCTCATTCGCTACTACTTTTTGCTGGTCATAAACAAGACAGTTGGGAGGATCAATTCGGGAAGATCAACGATAATCACTGAGCCTAATCCAATATTAATTATGCATACTTCACAATCGGCACAACAATCTGCACGGTTGGAGAACTCTAGTCGGCGAGTTGGTAGATCACACAGCATTTCGAGCGATAGACCTTCGACGGCTAGCACTTCTACGGGTTTACTATCTCCGCCTCTCTCAATCTCACCCGAGCCAGTTTACATTGCCTCTTCAGCGGCTTCACAAATCGTTACGAATGACCATGATAGCACCGCGGATGCTTGGCTTGATCAACATGGAATTGAGCCCTCGGGAGAAACGGCATTGGTATCACCCGCTGCTCTCAAACTTGTCAATACATTTCTTGACCAACTTGTATTAAATTTCCTCTCAGCATCGAAATCAACTTCACTGGTATCATTACGCCCAGCTATTACTGAGGTTCTGAAGCCAAGACTTGCAAGAGACGCCGTTAGAGGAGCCGACAGTGAGCTTCGAGAATATTTGGGTGGAAGTGGAAATGACGAATTACTGTCATCGGAGAGGGAAGGCCAGTCAAGCCGAGACTGGGACCTCGAACTGGTGTGGAAGCGTACAAGATTGAGGTGTATGGTTTATTCATCATTGGGGGATATGGAAGAAGAGGACGAGGATCGATATACAGCGCAAGAGCATCTCAATGGTTCCCTGGAATCTGGGGATCGTGAAAATGAAACCGGAATCGTCTCTCCAGCTGTTGCTATCTTCTTAACGTCCATCTTGGAATTCATGGGTGAACAGATACTTATTGTGGCAGGACAGGCGGCCTATACCCGACTTCGCATGAAATATGAGAAGGAGGAGCGCGATGGCACGATTAGACAAACTGACATCGCGGAACGTGTAGTCGTAGAGGATACTGATATGGAGCGAGTCGGATCGGATCGAATATTGGGAAAACTTTGGAGAGACTGGAAAAAGCGCGCCCGTTCCCCAACAAATTCAGAGTCCATGAGTCATTCGCATTCGAGAGAAATTACGGGCAATTCAGCACGGCCTGTCCTGGAGCCAGCCCAAGCGGCTAGTATCTCTTCAAGTGATAACGGGGAACTACAAGAAACATCATTCGACGCTTTGGCTGAGCACAAACAAGCTGCTATGATTCCTTTGCCAATGACTGTGGACGATGTTAGGGAAATTGAAATACCAGGCTTAGCTCCGCAAAGTGATAATGCAGAAGATGATGATGCTTCAGAGACAGAAGAGCTACCCTTTTCTCGTCGACCGAAGAGTATGGTGATTTTCACAAATGCATCGCACAATCTTCCTACACCTAGTTCTTCCCAACCGCCAACCCCAATATTCGCCGCTAGTCCTTCAAAATCGAGAAAACGTGCAAACTCGTTACCACCTCCCATCCCATCTACAGTTACGTCACTTTTCTCCCGAAGTTCCGAGGAAGCAGTTCCGCGCCGGGAGGACTCGATGAAGCCATCCCAAGGTGGAGCTGCGGCCTTGAATGGCACGATCACTCCCGCAGAATCAGAGAAAGATGCAGGGGAAGAAGATGAAGAGGTTTCAAGTAAAGGGAAGAGTGCTGTACTGGAATCGAAGCATGAGCCCGTGGATGACACCACGGAATTTGATGACACGAGTAAGGATATGGATTCTGATTTCGAATTTGTTGAAGAACCGCAAATCATGACTTCCTCACGTATCTCTTTCGGTGGTCGAGTTTCTCCTGATGATAGAGATTCCTCTACACGTTCCAGCGTACACTCTAGTGCTCAATCACCGAGTATTCATTCCTTGCGTCTCATTGATGTTAACACAGCGAAGAGTCCTACAACAAGGTCGCGCCAGGACTCCTTTGATGCGACAGATTTCATTCCTGGGCGAGGTGTCTCGATATCTCGTCCTACTAGTATACATTCACCTATCATAACAGAACTTTCTTCTCGAGGAACAAGCCCGCACTTCAGAAGCTCGAATAGTTCTCCATTAGCTCGAACCGGCTCCAACTTAAGCTCAATGCCTGTCAAGACAACCACCGACTCGATATCCGAGGTAGACGAAAGGGAGTCAGCTGGAGATGACTCTCCATTGACAGCTGTACCATCAGAGCTTGCAGCCGCAATGCAGGGAGTTGATGTGGATCCTAGTCCTACGTCTCAGAACTATCCTTCCTTCAAATCCGCGGCTTTTAGATCGACACCATTTGTGCTCGCTGCCCCTCCGACCCCACAGAATTATCGAGAAAATATGAAAGGATCGGCCAGACAACAAGCCAATAAGGGCCAGCCACTGAACGGGTTCTCAAACTCGAATGTTCGAGGAATTGAGCAAGATGTTCAAATGACATATCAGGGTGCAAAGAACTCATTTGAGCCACCTCCAAGGTCGGTCTCTCGTACAGTAGCAAGTTCTGCGAACGAGAATCCCGCGATTCTACCAGTCGTAAAAGAGAGCAGCTCTCCGGAGATGTTCAAGAGTATCCCTCGTTCATCTTTAGTGCGCCGTACTTCATCTCCGCGCTCTATGGGCGAGGAAGTATCACGCAAGGCCATACTTGAAACACAGCACAAAGTTCACCAGGCATCTTACACATCCAGCATCGTCTCACCTTCTATCCCTCGTGACAGAAAACGGCGAGTATCAGAAGAAAGTGGTGTGTCGGCGATGAGTAGTGCTGGGGATTCTAAGTCATTTGAAGAATTGATTCGAGGGGACGAGACCATTCAATACACATTAACACCACAAAATATGCGTGCTATTGAAAGTCCAGATTCCCCATTGAGTTTGACAGCCATTCCTGTCCCCCGGTCTGCTTCTGGACGTGCACACTCACCATCAGTGAGCAAACACACCGGATTGCACTCCCATCCTCTTAGTGTTCCCTTAAAAAGTCCTTGTACCGCAAAACCAAGAGATCCAAGAGCTGACCAAGATTCACTCGGAGATTTCTCTGATTTTATTCGATCCACAGGTCCTGCCATTCCTCTGAAGAGAGAAGAAATTCACTCACGATCAAGTTCAAGTGCCGCGAGTGATATTGCTCGGCCACTAATAACTAGTAATCTCCACAAAGGAACCAATGGAACCCCGAGAAACGTCAGTGGCTCAATACCTCGTGTGGGTCCAGTTGCCGCTCTTCCGGCACGAGCGGCGTCATCTGCTGGTCGATCGGGTAGACGAAATAAATTACAGGCTCGTGATGCCACCGTAGGCAAAGACTCTATCACCGATCTTATAGACTTTGTAAGGGCTGGTCCTGATGAAGTTGGCGGTCATCGTATACCACGAACTGTTGCTCCGTTTAGAAGTACAATGGATTCTGATCAAATGTCTGGTTTTGCCGGTGGTAAGGCTATAGATGCATCTCTACCTGATGCTAGATACAGCCAAGCATCTACCCACGCATCCACAAATCATTCCTCGGTTACTTCGCAAACAGGACTACTGAACAGCTCTAATAAGGCGAACAAGCCCATCCCCACTGGTATGAATATCGACGACGATGAAGATATGATGCCGAAACGAAAGACACGAAGAGTGAGGGATCCATATGCTATTGACTTCAGTGATGAAGAAGATGATGAATTCGAACATTCCTCCAGACCGGCTCCCATACAAGAAGAGTCCTTGGCGGACTTCCTCCGAAACGTACCTCCACCACCTTCACCGAAAATGACTCCTATTTTTGCAGAAGCTCAGAAGCCGCCTAAGAAAAAGCCCAGCTTTTCTTCTCGTTTCACTAGAAGTGGCTCTACTTCTCAGGTTCAGCAACATAAAACATCAAATTCTATGTCATCTCGCACGACATCCACCAAACATACACCTTCTTCTTCAATTAATCCTCAATTTAATGCTTCTGTTGGTGGTAGTAGCCATGGAAATTATTCCCAACAATCCGAAGCTCCGAGAGCAACGCCAAGCTCCAATGTCATTAGGAAGCCTTATGAATCTCGCGAACCTGTTCCAGTGAAGTTCAGATCTCAAACAAGCGATCTTGCAGACTTTCTACGAAGCTCAGAACCACCTCCATCGGTAGAACCTAAACCTTTTGTCCACGCAAAGGAGGAGAGTACATTCGCAAGTCGGTTCTTTGGGAGACGTAAGAAGAGCACTGCTGGATTTTAGTAATTCTTCTTTGAATATTTATTCTACGACATAACGTTTATCATCGCCCTTTAACAAAACCACTTTTACGATATTGCTTTTCGCTGGAGATTGACATATAATTGCTTTACGCAATGAAATTTTTATAATTCTTACTGGGTTCTCTTTTGTGGACCATTTACATATTGAAATAAATTTATTCATCTGCCAATACATCTTTGGGAGATTAAGGTTGCGCTTGCATATTTTACTTTTACTTTTAGATACCACGCTAGGCATGAATATATAGATGGAATTCCCATCTGAGAGGGAAGATAGGAGAGGAGAGGAGGCTTTTTATATTTGATTGATCGTGAATATATAAATTTAGCGAAGGGAAAGATATTTTATTACTTTTATAAGGATGTAATTCTTTCCATGGGATAGGATATTTTCAGGTTGGGTGGTTTGGAGATAGTTTCGAGGGTGGGAATGGTATATATGGATGGATATGGGAATGATGGATGGGTGGATGTTTGATGGGAACTTGAAAATGGTAGTTGGGGAGGGGAGGGGCGGGAGAAAGCTGGTTGGTTGGTTATGAATATGTTTGGGTTAGTGTTGGTGTTAGTTAGTGTTAGCGTTGGTATTAAGGGCATAGGGCAGTTTGTGGATAGATACTTATATACTTATATATATAGCGAATGAAATAAATGATGGAAGGTTTATATTTAGATGATTGCCATTGATTGGTTTGGGTTGGTTTTGTTATTATGTGTGTGATGTAAGACTGACTGACTCTGAGCAAATGTAGGAAGGGCTACTCGAGTGATCTAGAGAGAGAAATCTGGATTTGTGATGGGTGGGATTATATGTGTATGAATGTATGAATGTACATATGATTGATGATGATGATGATGATGATGAGAATAATATCCTTCACTAGGTAAGTATAGATTCTAGAATCGGATAATATCTAACGTATACAACACAGCATAACACAACACAATACAACAAACAAACATCCTACCAAATCCATCCACTTGATCCCTCACTTCCCTCCCCGCAACCAAATCACTCAAGTCAACCCACCAACCAACCAACTCACTCCCCAACCCAAGCACTCCTCTCCCATCCTACCGTCCCCCTCATCCTATGCCACCCCGCCCCCGCAACAGCCTCACTCTCAATACACTCCACCACCAATTTCGAGCTCAGACGCAGATTTTCCGGAAAAGAAATATAGCCTTCTTCCTCTAGGATTTGGAGGGTTTGGGTTATCCATGTTTGTGTTGTTATTTCCTGTTTTGTTTCTATTTCTTTTTCTTTTTCTTTTTCATTTTCATCTTTTTCATTTTCTGTTTCTTTTAAGCTTGAGGTTGAGGTTGGAATTGAATCTTGGGTATCTGGGGTTGATATTGGGGGGGATCCAGAGGGCATACTACTCAATAATTGGGTTTCGAGACCTAGGATTGAGAGACGGGAGGAGAGGGCTTGGTGGAGGATGATGTCTATTGGGCAGAGCTTTAGGATGAAGAGGAGGGTGGGGATGAATTTTGAGAGGTGGGTTAGTGGGAGGGTGTGGGATTGGTAGGTCCAGGGTCCCGTTGGGTTGGTTATGTGGACTAGAGTTTGGGGAGGTGTTATTTGGGTGTTTTAGAAGGAGGGGTGGTGGTATGGTTTGAGGAGAAGGGAAGAAAAAGGAGAAAGGAGTAATAGGGTTGTATGTGATGAGTAGAAAGGAATAAGGTGAAGATGGAAAGGAGGGAAAAGAGGAAGAGGATAATACATATAGTACCAGTCACGGGAGCAAGAAATGGAATACTAGTAGGCGGGGAGGAGGCGAAGTAAGCAGATATCAATGAACTAAATGATTAGAATGGAAAATTAGTATTTATATTCATGTATATATTTGTATTCTATAGCCTTTAAACAAAATCAAATAAAATCAATGAGATTATTAAAAAAATTGAAGAAAAAGATAAAGAGTAAAAAATATATATATATATATAAATATAAATATAAATAAAAATAAAAGATAAAAGATAAATAAAACTATAAATAAAACTATAAATATAAATCTTAAAAAATTAAATAAATAAATAAATAAATAATAAAAACAAAAACTATGAAAAATATTACAAATATATAAAAATAATCAATTAATAAATCAAAATCTACTCACAAAGCGACTCATGTCCAATATCCGCAAGGAAAATATATAAAGTAGACGGTGCAAAAACGACATTAGCAGGAAGAGATCGAGATTGAGATCCAGAAACGAATGGCGATGGCGATGGCGATGGCGATGTGGATGAGGATAAGGATCGAGATGGCATTGTGGTGGTGATTGTGGTCCACGTGGTGTTTAGGATATCGATTGGAGGTTTGGGAGTTAGGTCCGGAGTTGGTGTTTGTTGTGTCATGTTTTCATGGTTAGGTTTTTGGTTTGGCTTGATGGATGGATTGGATAGAGAACTATCCCGAGTTATGATTGTGATTTATTTAGAGTGTGGTGGATGTGGTGGTGGGTAGGGTGGTGATGTAATGTGGTGAGTTTATGAGATAAGAGAAGGGGGTTTTGATACAGATATGATATTGGAGTTGAGGTCCGGTTCTGGAGCTGGATAGGTCTGATGAGAGTGGTTGGGATTGAATGGAGAGGATCGAATGGTGGAAGAAGTTTGGAGGTAGGAAATTGATATTTGGCATTTCCATCACCTTATCGAACACACTTGAAGTTGCTATATGGGGTTGTAATGCACGGGCCACATGAGGAAATGAAAGTTACTTGGAACACTAACCTAAGGCTCATCGGGAGCTCACCGGGAGCATAAAACTCACTGGGAACAAGATCGTACTTGAAAATTTCTACATTTGAGTCTGTAAAATATTTTATCTGATGACAGAAGTATGAATACGATTATTATGAATCACAAGATTTGATCAGTCTTGATTTGACTATTAAATAACAAAACTTCCTTACATTCCCCTATCCCTCAATCTCCTATACTTCCCCGCATCCTTCACACTCGCCTTAATCTTCCCTAATGCAACCTCCCAATCAGCTCCACTAATCTTCAAATCATCCTCTATGGTAGCTTGTCCCTGTGCTACCATAATCATTTCCCTTTTCAATGCTGCCACTGCAGCAGCTTGATGCAGATTACCTAAATCCGCTCCACTATATCCATTGCACCTCTCATCTCTCGCTACTGGACCCAATGCCTCAATTTCTTGTGCACTAGCGGATGGTAGTGCTTTCCTGTATAAAGCCTTGAGAATCTCCACACGTTCATCTGGAGATGGAAGGTCGACAAAGACTGACGTACCAAGACGACCTGGACGTAACATAGCGGGATCGATCATGTCAGGTCGATTAGTGGCACCTACAACGTATATTCCAGCTCTGTTGCTTAGACCATCAAGTTCGGTAAGGAGGGTATTGACAACTTTGCTACTAGCTTCTGACAAAGAGTCCTCACGTTTGGGAACCAATGCATCCAGTTCATCGAAGAATAAAATGCAAGGTACGGATGATCTGGCGCGCTCAAAGACTTGTCTAACAGCCCTTTCAGATTCTCCCACATACTTGTTAAGGAGTTCAGGACCCTTGATAGAAATGAAATTGGCTTTCGATTCATTTGCAACGGCTTTCGCAAGAAGCGTTTTACCACATCCAGGTGGTCCCCATAACAAAACTCCTGTTGGCGCTGTAATACCAACTCGAGCAAAAGATTCCGGTCGTTTAATAGGCTCAACAATCGCCATTTCAAGTTGTTCTCGTACCTCATGTAAAGCACCAACATGAGCCCATGTGGTATCTGGAATCGTTGCAAAACCTTCCCGTTTAGCCGACGGCTGAACTTTAGGTATGGCTGCAAGGAAATCGGTATATTTGATAGAAAAATCTCCATCAGGAGCGGAACCTCCCGCATTAGCGACTAGAGACCTTAAAACAAGAAGAGCTTCTGAAGTGCTATCCTTTAATATTGGAGTGTCTAATTCCATGGATGTAGCACTTTGTAGCGGGGTATCGAGCTCCATGGTAGAAACAGTTTGTTGTTTTAGAACTGCCATCATACGCTTCATGGCTTCTGTACCTGCAACAGACACAACATCATTCAAATCAGCTCCCACGAATCCAGGAGTCATCTTTGCTAAAGCATGAAAGTTAAAATCATCGGGTAAGGCAAGTTTTTGAGTAAGAGCGCGGAGAATCTTCTCTCGAGCAGCTTCGTTCGGAACCCCCAAATTAATCTCCTTATTAAAACGACCTGCTCTTCGAAGAGCCGGATCAAGACTATCAGGTCGGTTTGTGGCAGCTATTATAATGACAGGTTTACCGCCTGTTTTTTCTAAAGCCATATCATCCATGGATGTGAGCATTTGAGCAACGATTCGTTTTTCCATCTCTCTTTGAGCACTCTCCCGTTTCCCCATTATGACATCAATCTCATCGATGAAAACAAGACAAGGTGCCATACGTTTTGCTTCGTCAAAGACATCTCTGATCTTTTTTTCTGATTCTCCCGACATACCAGCCACTAAAGATGGTGCAGAAATTGGTATGAATGACACTCCTATTTCTGCTGCAAAAGCGTTTGCGATCATAGTTTTACCACAACCAGGTGGTCCATGGAGTAGAACACCTCGAGGTGGTTGAATTCCCGTCCTTATATATGTTTCCGGATATAGCATTGGCATCGCAACAAGCTCGTTCAATTCTTCAATGACATTATCCACTCCTCCAAGATTCTCCAGTGAAATATCCGTGGGTGGTGCTCTATCCGCATCTTTCCTGACTTCTCGTTCTGCTTTCCGACGTTTCGATTTTGGTTCACCGTTGGTTTGTCGATCTGATTTCATAGGTGATTCGACTTCCCCATTACCATTGGTGCTGGTTTGTATTGAAGGAACGGGTGTGGCGATTCCACTCACAGAAGGAGTACCGTTCATAGGACTCATTGTTGGTATCGATGCTGGTTTTGCCCAATTTTTGGTAATATTTCTATTCATTATGTTGTGTTCCTAAAACAGTTGTTAGTGTATGCGCAACAACAGCCTGCCGGATTTATACCTTCAACGGTGGTGCCGCCTCCTCCAATCCTTCGAAATCCCCATCTACAGAATCACTTTCATCTTGTTCTTCCTTCAATACCAACAGCACTCTGTCGATTGAGTCTTCAAGTAGTTTTTTTGATCTTCTTTTTAGACTTGAATTCGAATTTTTAATGCTATCAAAAACAATTGAGATCGTAAGACGCTTCGGTCCATTCTGGCTCTGTGCCTGTTCATCTGCCAATTTCCTCACAATCTGATATATCTGCATAAACTTTTAGTAAAGAAGCATCTTTGCGCCGATGACAATCCATACCTCCTTGTCCAACCCTTGACTCAAAGTTGGCCTTCCACCTCTGGATATCATAATGAACCTTCCAACTACTCTTAGATAAAGCGCGTACTCTTAATTATTCGAATTTTCCAAGTCGGGTGAATGTGTGAGATAAAAAAAAATTGTTATCCTCCCCCGAAAACGGTAAGTCCCGCGCGGAATAATTCTTATCGCTTATCAGCACCGACCGCCATGACGCCGTTTAGAAGCATCCAAACCTTAGATGGAGGATATCACGGAATGCATCTCTCTAGCTGCAATCAAGTATTTCAAAATTATCAACAATGGGGAACAATCCCAGTACTCATAAGGTATCTGCGCAGGATAAGTAAGGAGCTCTCCAGCTGTTCCTCACGTCTACATCCACTAACTCATCAACTGCAGAGCTATCCTGGACATGAAGAACCAGCGGGACAAACTTCACCAATATCAACGACGTATAACTGTACTCACCGATCGCGAAACGGCTATTGCCAAAGAGATGTTAGCGAAAGGCGACAAGAAACGAGCTCTCCTAGCCCTACGACGAAAAAAATATCAAGAATCTCTGCTGGCAAAGACGGATGCGCAACTCGAGCAATTGGAGAAACTGACTAGTAGTGTGGAGTTCGCGTTGGTACAAAAGGATATTATATTTGGTTTACAACAAGGCACGAACGTGCTGAACCAGATCCATAAGGAAATGGGAGGACTAGATCATGTGGAGAAATTGATGGGAGAGACAGCGGATGCTATTGCTTATCAACAGGCAAGTGCTTTATCTATCGTGTGATGATTTGTTACTCTACTGACTTCATATTTGTAGGAGGTGAGCGATATGTTGGGTGGGATGATGTCAAATCAGGACGAGGATGAGGTAGAGGATGAACTGGCTGCTCTGGAAGCGGAAGTCACAGGTGTTCCACTACCTGAAGTTCCTACGCCGGGTTTACCATTGAAAGAATCCTTACCTGATGTGCCAAGGTCAGAACTTTCGAGTAAAGATCGGGCAAAAGCAAGACAACTTGAGCGCGATGAACAGCAAGTCGCAATGTTGGCTTAGGCGTTTTTAATTTGTTGGGCATTTAAAGGAGTTATGCGAGCATTGCTGGTTGGATACCCGATTCATTATTTTACACTCTTTAAGCATCATCAATTGTAGATATGGATTAGTATTTTACTGAGAACCGTTGTGGAAGAAGCAATACATTTGTTTTTGTATATACATTATGATGCCGATTACAATAGATTTTCCTAAAATGAATCAGTATTGCCAACAAGTCCATAAGCAGACCTTCTATCTGCCACTGGTAACGCCGTCCAATGCAAGTAGTTGAATCCTTGATGTAAATCCCACTCCACGCTTATGCATATCCATATAACCGACAATGCAAAATAGTAACATCATATGGCCCTTCCATCTTCCAGATACCAAATAATCCAACGATGAACGGCTCGAGCGTTGCGCCAGTTCTTCAAAGCAAAACTAACGGAGTTAAACGAAAACAATTGGTTGAAGTCTCAAAAGCTCGACTGCCTCTACCCCGATACGTCCCATCTCTCGTAAGATCACTCTAAAACAATAACTTGACGCCTGGGTTGTATAACTCGTGTAAATGTCGGAGCATTAGCCTCACGCGGTACCGAAACTCGCATGGGATGGTGTGGCATATTTCGCTCAGTAGTGTACGGATCACGTCTCTCGTAGTGTACTTGTAGGCCAGATCTTTCGCCAGATATTCTAAGGTCAAGAAAGTCAGTGATTTCTACGTCATCCATTTATCCTTCAATCCTACTCACTCTGGTCTATCTAAATATACTGGAGATCTTGCTTGAACAGGGCGCATGACTGTAAACGACCTAGCTGCTTGACCTGGCTCGCCGCCTTGATGATAAGGGAATCTCTGATAAGAAACGGGACCATCTTGTGGTCGAGGAATGGAAGGTTCAAGCCCAGATTGAGAGAAACGTTGAATGTAAGCTTGGTCCGCAGAACCATCCACATTTTGTAAATGAGAAAATCTTCTGGAACCATGTGGATCAGGTGACGCTGGTCTTTGAAAGTAATATCTCTGACCTGATTCAATCTGTTCTCGTCGTACAAACCGATCACGCTCAACCATTCTCATGTTATCACTAGCCACTCGTTGTGGATTGTAAGTCTCATCAAAATTTGTCAAATAGGGACGTGGTGCAGCTATTTCTCGCGCCGAATGCGATACGGGCTGCTGGTAAAAGGGCCTCTCATCTTCTCGCCTGGATGGATTCGGATGCATTTCATGTGGTCTGGGGTCAGGCACATCATAAATAGGCAGTCTCTCTGCAAGCACAGGTCGTGGAGATGCTAATGGCACATTTGTTGACAAACCTTCAGTATATCTGGGCAATGCAATGGGACGACGATCAGCTTCCCTGGGATGGAAAATTGGGGTGGTATGGCCATGCTGTTCCCGGGAGGGATAAGGCCTAAATCGTCCATGACCATCCTCAATCACACGACGGCGTTTAGAATAAGAATTATCATCATCATCATCATCAAGAACAATGACTTCTCGGAGCCTAGGTGAAATTCTATCCCTTTCAGCCACGCGTCGTGGATATGACGTTTGGTGGTCATTTAAATCGCCAACAACATTTCGATCCAAACGAGATGAAATGTTCATACTATCATTTTGTGTTTCAATGGATAAAGCAAGCATGTCTTGAAATCCAGATCTTGTTGAGGAGGCACCGACTACTACTTGAGGCCTTGGCTCTCTGCTCACTTGTGGTGCAGTGTTAAACTGTGGAGGATAGAAGGCTGGGCGATCATGCAAGGGTCTTACTGTTACATCATCTCTGCGAATCAATGTCCTTGAAGATGGCCTTTCCTGTGGGTAGTAATGACGAATCTATAAATGTTAGCCGTGAAATTTGTCTCTCTCTTTCGTCAAAGCTGGACGTACTTGTCGTTCAGGTGGGATGCTATGCCGAGATTCTGCATCACGATAGAGGTACTCTGGCCCCTGCTGTCGAGGTATTTCTTGGTAATGTGGTGAGCCATTACGGTGAGTAGGTCTCAAACTTGCCTCATATCCTTGGTTACCTGGCCCATTAGGTTCGTGGGCGATATTTTGACGGCGATTCAGAGCCTCATCCCAAGCAGCTTGATATCGCTTGAAGCGGGGCTGGGATTTCCTTGCTGCCTCCTTTAGCCTTGTTCGAGACCTTGTGTGAGAAGAAATGGGGTCCGAGGGGCCAGCAACATTCCCATGTGAATTTTGCTCAACTCCCAAAGGTTGCCGCCTTTGTGAGTCCTTTTGGTTGACTAAGGTGACGGGATCGGCGAATGTCTCGTCCTCTTCCTCGTCGTCTTCCGAATCATCGTCTTCATCGGAGTCGTCCTCGTCTTCATCGTCCGAATCGGTAATAATGACAACTTCTCGTAAGATCTCGTCCATTTGGTCGCGGCCAGTTTCCTCATCTCCTCGCCATTTCACAAGGACGTCTAAACATACAGGTTCAACTACCTTTCGTGCATTTATCCAACTAGTTTCCCTGAGTAACTTATCATATCTTGTGTGTGTATGACGAATGTGGGCAAGAACAGCAAGTTGGACTCGACGTGCCAAAGGAAGATCGGCCTGGAGGCCGACCGTAGGCTCTCCATGAAATTTCACACCCTTTTGGAAAGCATGCTCGATAATTCGTTGTCGATCAGTGTTGGGGATTCTTGGGAAAAGATCTCGTATCGCATCGTCAGCTTGTTTGTTTATTTCTTCTTGTGATTCTGGTATTGGTTCAATCGAACCATGAGTAGGGTTAGAAATAACAGTGTCGCCGACAATTTTACGTGCTTCATCCACGATGACTTCTCGAAAATGATATCCGGTTCGAAAAATATGCTCTGAAATCTTCGAGTTGTCTTCTTTCGAGCGCTGCGTAAAGTATGAAGTCAGTATGGGTAGCCTTGCATTTGGTACGGACAGACCTGTCAGTCAACCTTACCGAAACAATAAAGATCATAGCATTTTGTTCTCGCGATAGTTCTTTACAAGCATTCGTCAAAGTCGGATCCCCGATAGGTACGTAGGCAAACCCTGGTGGAGGATTGGGATCATTGGTGACCTAACCATAAGTCAATATGGCAAAGACACGTCGCAAATCTAAATACCTGAAACTCCAGCTTCTTCTTCTTTTCCTTATTCTCCGCAAATTCGAAATACGACTGATACTTAGAACTATGCTTAGGAAGATCTAACTTTGCAATCAAATGATCTGGGGCAGGTTCTGCCCAATCTTGTGCAGTATATGATTTCTTCTCTTTCTTCCGGCGTTCCAATTTTTTGGCACGACGCTCTTCCTTACCAGCTCGAGCCGATCGACTCTTTTGAGCCTTTTGGGCCTTTTGAGCCTTTTGAGCTTCTTGAGCTTCCTTCTGCACATTTTTATGAACAGGTCCCTTTCCCTGAAGGGCTTTTTTTTTTCTACCCACCATATCGAGTACTATCCTCGACTTACCATAAGGAACTGATGACCTATCGAAAGAAATTAGTGCACAAAAAAGCGCTTGCAAGGCACGATAACAATTCTCTCAAAGTAATACCAGCAGCTTATTGCGTGATAAGAAAAATAGAGAATCACAGTACGTCCTAACAATCAATATAATCCATTATTCCAGTGTTGGAAATTGGAAAGAGTTGTTTGTGTTGTGTCAATGAAATTGGAAGAATGAACGTCTTGTGTTGTGAAAAGATGAGCCAGCAAGACGCTGTGCACCCGAGGTGGTGTGTGGGTGTGTAAGTAGTTTTATTTAGCGTGTGGCAAGCGAAAAGTAGAGTCATGTGAATATGTGTGATAAATGCATAATTGATATATTGATATCCAATTTAATCATCCCGTGATACGGAGTTCTAGAATGGACCTATGATATTGCCTTTATTACTCTGCCTCCATTAGTTAGGTATCGATCGAATGTTTGAGTAGCGGCTGAGGTTTATGCTAATCCGTGCCATCCATATATTGATGATGAGCAGTGACACGAAAGGCCAGTGTTGCTCAATTCAAATCTTACAACAAGTGTTGCATAAAAGGTTTTATATAGCAAGTATATTTGATTCTGTTCATTGGTGGTATTGTAATTTTGCTAAAGAAGAAACAGCTCCAAGAGTTGTTTCACTCGGCTCCTATGGCGCTTTCGATAGTGGTTTTTGTGGCACTGCTTTGAATCTGTACCCAATTTACTTCTTTAGGCCAACCTTGGGCTCCAATGCAATCGTCGCTTGCCTTCCCATTACCAAAAGTTCGAGCCAAGCTACAGTTTTCCATCTGGCTTCTATTGAATCCCTCTGGCCTCTTCGTCCCGCCACTGAACACCCACATAACGCCTTCTACTATGCGGGCGAGGAAGAAGGCCAACCACATAGGCACCGCAATAATCTTCTCCGGTGGTGTATAGTCACCTGCAAGACACCGTACAAGGAGGGCAAAACTCCAAACTTCCATAGGCTCTCCATTGAAAGCTTCGCCGACAACCTCAAAACATTGCAGTGGCTCATGCGTTTCTTCATTTATCATAGCCTCAATACAGCACATACATGCATTGGCTACATTTTTCGCATAGACGAAATCGAATTTACTGGTACCGTCTCCGAGCTGCGATTCGGGACATTCCTTGTTCTAGAGCATTTAAGAGCGAAGGCACGACCTGTGCATCTCTCTCGCCGAGAATCCGGCACGTATTTGTGGGGGCAATTTGCGGCGAGCACCGTGGCGTCAGCAGTGGCCTTAGCCATGATGTGAAGACCCGGGTTCCAAATAGCTCCGCGCCATACTCTGTGATGGATGAGAATGGCGCACCAGTAACAACGGCGGTGCTTGACATATAGATTTACTGCTTTACTAAGGGACACTTAGCCACGCATGCGAGTGAGTTCTGCGTGCCACCAATAGTCGTAGCATCGGAAGCTTCGAGACCTGCCGAAGGTGGCGTAGATGCTCTGTTGATGATGATATTTCGTTGGATGCGGCTCAATAATGTGCCTTAGATCCGTTGTGGAGCACATGTCGCCGGCGTGGTAGCTGACTCCCTTCTGCAAATTGCATGGTGAGCCACTGAGTACAGACACATGAGGTAGCGAGAAGTGTGCTTGCAAAGGATTGATGATGTGGAAGCCCAGAAACCTGCACTCGCCAATGACCAATACGTGATCTAATACAACGACATTCTCACTTGCCATTTTAGTAATTATTTGTTTTCTATTAGCTTTCGTTCAGATCTCATAATGTTGTAACTGTTTAAGCTTGACGAAGTAAGATCTTAGAATGAGAACAAGACTTTGATTAAGATATCGGGCTGTCTATGTGTTGGAGTCCAACATCAACAATAAAGGCATTACTCAGTTCCATTTATCGAATGGTGCCAATAACAACCCGTGCCACCATGGTAAAATGGAAAGACCTTTTTGCCTATTGGCGGCTGTGCCCCATTTGAGCTGCATTATATCCAACAACCCGGATCACAATACAGCACAAAGACACTTCCAAATGCTGAACTTATTTTGAACATCAAATTGATTTCAAACCCTATATTCATTTCTTTAATCAACTCTATTCCGTGCATAAACTCATTGATGATTTAAACATTCTCAAATATCCTCAGCTTGAAAGATTTCAAATCGAACTGCAGTCCGCAGGGTTGTGCACACTGTTTGGCTATGGTTAGTAAGGAAAGAGGAACAGCGTTTGGGAACCTCCCCATCATCATCGTTGCGGGATCTTGGATTTCCGGAGGAAAGATCCCCAAGGATATATTATTATTCCATTCCTTGACACCTTGTGCTATAGAAATCGAAAAATGTCGGACACTGTGCCTTTCATCACCAGCAGTGATGATGGCCAGGCCAATGTGATATTTGTGATCGTTCAGCTTCTGCTTCAGGAGCCCGCTGCCACAGTTCAAACCACGTCGACAGCGAATTTAGGCTCTGGGTTTACCACAGCTAAGGCCCAGCGCTAATTTCAATCTCATCCCCTGTGGTTCCATATTTGGTGGCTATCTAGAAACTGGTACCCATGTCAACGGGTTACCTGATCCCTCATGTATGCGCAGTGCTGTATGCAACTTCGCTAACATGCCTAAAATGATGGAACATGGAACGGATCGCCGGTATCTAGAAATACACAAGTCATGCTTCCTAATAATTGAATGGCTCGCAGCGAGTGCCGTGGAGGTACATCCCGTATATACACCCGAAATCGACATATATCACATGCTCAACCAGAAACACATCATCGTTTATCAGCGATATGTCTTCTGCTCTCCCCAAACTCCCGCAAAATCACTGAATCGGAAAAGTCGGAAAGACGGTCCAGATTCGAGGTCGTCTTCTAAGCATTTAGCCGTACAGCTCTACTAGGACGCAGTATCCGGCACCAGAACTTCCAGAACTCAATCTACTACAGTCCACAAAAACAGCCAAAGAACTTCAAAAAATGAACAAGACGAAGACCCTACCAAAATCATCCAAACATCTAAGCTCTCCCCAGCAGCCCTCACACCAGCACCAAAAGTAATAGCAAGCGCACATCATAGAAATGCAAATACGCATTTTAATTTTTGACTCTTGAGACTTCTAGGTTAGTACATACATAGTCCACACATCCACCACCATACCCATCCACCAAGCGACTCACACACAACAATTCCGAAGCACTGCCTTAACCCCCTCGCCCCTCCTCTTACCTCAATATAATAACGTGAAAGTTATGGAACCGCGACTTTGCGCCGAGCATCTATCTGAACAATACATTAGCATGTACGCGAATAAGCGCTCGTTGCTCCCTCAACGTTTGTCTCTGCAAGTGAACTACACGATGCATTATGCATACTTCGGGACGAGAACAATGTACCGGGTAGTGAGATCAGAGGTTCAGCGGAGGTAGCAGGCAAGTGATGTAGTGAGAAAAGAGGGTAAAGGAGATGCAGCAAATGCAGTAAATGCGATATTCAAGATAGCTGATGGAAAATTTGATAGATCTTATGACAAAAAATGGGCAATTCTACCCGAGACAACGGTGTGAATGCAAGAATCTTTCATCCACCTACAATTTCAAAATTGATTTTATATTCATTGAGGAGTTATCTACCTATGACTGAATGGATGCATAAGCCTCATTCGATCTCCCACAATTGCCGTCCATTTATGTAGCAAACTTCATCCATCTCAAATTCCTTGAAATCAAACTCAAATTCGTATGATCCTCCCAATTCCATGCAGATCAAAACGTAGCCTATATGCTCCTGTAAAACTCCATTTCCCTAATGTTCGTGCATCGCCAAATTTTCATACAAAAATGAATATTTACAAAAAGAATCACCTCCAACATCCAGATCATATATCACTCCGGAAGGGCATTTATATTCTTCTTGATGACTATACGTCATTAGTTTTGTACGTATCGACTCGATAAGTTTCACTTACATTCGAACGCCGAAAAGAATATTGAGTTTACAACGCATGATCGACCCATGGACACCCCCAAACCTCGGTACATTTTCTTATCGAAAAATTTGATCTTTGGTGCCTTTTGAACAGTCTCGCCCTTACAGCAAGTCAAACAATTCCGTTGGTAAATGCTTTTGGCGGAGTCGATTGGGTACTATCCAGAGTCAGTTACTTAGCCGAAGATCACAATGTTATATTTTTCTACGAACAATCAATGCCCAGCTTGCTATGCCACAGAAACCACCAGCAACAACGACGGCGAACGGGCTTGTTTTCCCTTGTTGCCCTGTATATGTAGTCAAAAGTTGCTTGCAACTTTCGTAGGTCATGAAGTAAATAGCGGTTCCTAATGTATCCCGAACTGTTCAGATGAGATTAGTATATGACAATAATGTCGGATTGACAAATCTACTCACGTAGATGGAGATTAAATCCAGAATAGAGTCCCGACACCCCACGATTCTTGACGATATTCATAGCAGTTTTAAATGTCCCCTTGTTTTTGTAGCTTGCTGCAGTCGCATTTTGCATAGGTGAATCTCTCACAGGGTCGGAAATACTCGATTGTCGTTTAGCAGCCATCAATACCGATACTTGAGCACTAAGTTTTGTCAATTCGAAGGGACCTGAAAAATGTCAGAAGTTTGAAGAAAAGACAAGAACTGAGCTGGTCCACCCACAAGCTACAAGCGTTATGAACGATCCAGCTGTGGCGCCAGCAGCTCCAAAACATGCAACAGTAGAAAGGTTAGGATGAGTTCCAAATGTGTTGATATGTACCAATGGATCAAAGTCGAAATTTCTTTTGAACCAAGCTGCGTATGTGTACTTCGACCGCTGATAGACCGAGAAAGATATAGTTCGAACCAAAGTTACTGAAGCTAAAGGTGCTGCAACTCCACGAAAGAAGCCTCGTAATTTCTCCGTCTGATATGTATGTCTTACGCAATCCGTAAAGTTATTGTATTTGTAGGTCTGCATTCGCGTCTTCACCGAGTCCAAAGGAAACTACAATTTAAATGAGCAATTGCAAAGTTGGGGATATAACACGCAAGAACTTACTGCGCAAAAAGTAGAACAGACGCTGCTGACAGACGCAGCAACCTCCGTTCGATATTGTTTCAACCATCTCTTCTGTGCTTTCGATCTCTCTTGAGGATATAGTAGTAAGTGTTGTTGGTTGATCACATCATGTTGACCAGGCTTAACAGGCATAATGGCAAATTATTGTTTGTAGCGGGCGCAGGAAGACAGTGGTCAAACCGACCAGAGTCCTCAACGCGATCGCGATAAGGGCAGACGCCAATGATCGTCCATGAGTCTTCTGTCGATTATAAAATCGAGCGGAAGAATTCACCTGCAAAGTTGCAGCCGAAGAAAAAGATGGATGGTCTGGGGAAGGTGAGTTATGAGAAGGCGGGGTTGTAAGATATATACTGAAGTAATGTATGGAGAATCGAGATACGGGTATCACGAAAGGAGGGTTCGGAGCCAACCAAACGGATTACAATTATTCATTCAAGTGGGCGGGCTTGGAAGTTGGCTTTTAGTTTGGCGCAAATCACTGCTTGATTAGTGGAAGTCTATAAATCTCATGTTTTTGGAGAGAAGGTTCGCTAAAAGTGGATCCACTTTGCAGTTATAATTGCAAGCTACGGGGCCGGAGTACGTAGTAATAACGGCTCATGGCAAACTTACCTATCTCTACGCTGGAGTCTGTACCTACTACCTTTTTACTAGGTGTTTACTACGCACCACTCTGCTGCCAAAATATGATCAAATGCGAGATCAAGAAAGGAAATTTATCACGATGGTGATGCTTGTTTTGGTTTCAAAACAAAGAAATATCAAACCCGCGCTTGACGTATCATTATTAATTGAAAGGAAAGAAGAATGCACTGCTGCTGAGATGGGCAGCTATGGATTGAATTGGATAAGCCCCGCATTAGTATCGTTTTCGATTAAGGGGGACCGAGAAACATCACCACCAGGGCGTTCACAGGCGTGGGGTTCATACATGATACACCAGCCACTTTATAGTGTAGGATTCAAAGACTTATTCGACCTGTTCAGCATTTATTATTAGACTATGATATCTTTCTACGGTCGTTATCAAACACGGCATTCGGTAGCATTCGGTTGAAGTAGGCCGGCATCGGGTGAAACTACTGAGGTGCTACTCGTAGACAATCAGGCTATTGATGGTAGTCATCTGAAATGATCTCATCAGTATCATTCGTCATAGATTCTTGCTATAAGATAAGTGTGAGAGGCTGTGTACCAGTCCAAATATCAGCTAGCCCCAGATCTAGCTTGCCGCTCCATCCACAGGTACCATCTCCCAACCATCCGTAGGACTAGACAGGTGGTACGGCAATCATCCCCATACGACTACCTAGGTAGGCCATGCACGCCGCTGATCCTCCATGTCATTTATAACTCAAGTCATCGGAATTTGAGATATATAATAAACATTCATCGGATGACCTTTCACTTTAACAGCATCGAAAATATACGTGTTTCAACAGATAGAATGGTCCTCTGCAAACATCAACTACTACTCTGAGGTGATGTTAGACGTAAAGCCTGAAAGTTGATTACATGACTTATTCCCTCTATTTGGAACGCCTCAACGTAGACATAGACCCATGCTTTCGTTGAGCATTTCAATAGTTTTGTCGTAATGCGTCATGGTATTCTGCCTCAAATGTTTCTGCATAGGAGTCTTTTCCCTGAGTTGCCTGCTAGAGATTTAGCAGTGCAATATCGATACTGATACGGGTTAAAGGTGGCTTTACATTTTCCATTGAACCCCCCGCTCATACTGTACCCTAAGCAGGTTTTTGACTAACTTGTGCTCCAGACCAGTTTCTTTGGCCGCAAGTTTTAGAAATTTGATGGTATTGTCAATTCGTATTTGATCAAATGTTTCCGGATTTCCTTTGCGAAATTCGTCTCTCAACATGTTTCTTCCCATGTAGCGTGCCGGTTTTGCATATTGTACAGCATGTAATAGAGCTCGGTAGAGACCTCGGTATGCGTATACATATTGGTTTGGTGTAGGTAGCATTTTCGTTTTATATTGACCGTGTAATTCAGAAGACTCGTAGAAATAATAAATAATTATTACGAAGTACAAAGTTGAAACCCACTCGGTTGGCACGCATGTGAAAATCTATGGTCTCGGATGCTTCCGAAGTAGCGCGTCATTCGGACTTGCCTCTAAAGTCAGACTAGACAGTTTGATATCAATATGATACTACCCAAATTTGGACATACGACTTCTTGAAATCGATACTGATATGAACAGAATTATATAATACATTTTCACATGAAGCAAATGTCACTAAATGACCTCTCTTGTTTCCGAGTTTTTGATTAATCCAGTTCTGAGACAGGCCAGACGGTTTTCACGATCCGACGCCGTTCATACACACGACTCGAATGATTCGTTAACCCCGCAATCCGTCCTGGAAAGCAGTAATGAGGTCGATGAAGTCGTTGTAGAAGATGTGACGGAAGAGGGAAGAGTTATGGGTCTGCCAGATGTAAGGGAACATGCAGGCGTCGATGACAGAATTGGGAGTCCGTCGAATCAATCTCCAACTCACCAAGGGAATTCGCCAGCCAACATTCACAGTCTTCGACATGAGGTTGATCGAAACGAAACTGATCCGCTGATAACCTCTCATGTACAGTCGAATATGAGTCAAATTGATAGCGGTGTCACTGGTAGTCCTCCCGCCAGCGTAGCATCGCAGACTCAGGGCAACGTTAGAGATGGAAGATCTAGCAGTGCGGCTCTCAATGTTCTCGATTTACATATGAGCTCCGCCGAAGGTCTGTCCCAACACTTAAGTCAAGATTCGACTTCGGCTTCAATAGGTCTTGACACAGGCAATTGTACTCTTCCTGCGGACGACGGCATGGGCCCTCTCCGACAACGCATCAAATTTATACAGGCTATGGATATACCTACAGAACAAAAGGCATTGTTGATGCATCAACTGTTAACCGAAAGTTACAATCAAGCTCACGAAATATTCAATACGAAGAATTGTGTACCAAGTACGACCGCAGAAAAGATGATTAGTCAGGAGAGGCCTGCGACTCCAGGTTCATTAAGCTCTTTCATTTGGCAGATGAACGGTGCTCTAGATCCAGTACCAGCAACTGAAATTCATACTTTCCACCTCTCGCCAGACGACTTAGAGAGGACTTATGCTCCCCTCGATCCTGCCGAAGTTGATGATGGGAGCGAAGAAACTGAAAATACTGAGGATTCTATCCCCATGCTCGGCTGTAAACATTATAAGAGGAATGTTAAGTTACAGTGCTCCACCTGTGATCGATGGTATACTTGCCGGCTGTGTCATGACGAAGTTGAGGACCATATCTTAATTCGCCATGAGACTAAAAACATGCTGTGCATGGTATGTGGTTGTGCTCAACGAGCTGGCGAATTCTGTGTCGAGTGTGGAGAGAGGGCTGCTTGGTACTATTGTGGAGTGTGTAAGCTGTGGGACAACGATCCTAATAAAAGCATTTATCATTGCAATGATTGTGGGATATGCAGAAAGGGCCGTGGTCTAGGCAAAGACTTCTTTCATTGCAAGGTAAACTCCATCCAGGCTAATTAACCAAAGTTCATTATGCTTACAATGTTAACAGACTTGCGGCGTGTGTATGTCTATGTCTCTTATGGACGACCACAAATGCATCGAGAGAGTATCTGACTGCGATTGTCCGATTTGTGGAGACTACATGTTTACCTCACCAAAACCCGTCGTGTTCATGATATGTGGTCACAGCATTCATTCAGCTTGTTATATCGAGCATATGCAAACATCGTATAAGTGCCCGATATGTAGCAGGAGTGTGGTTGGTATGGAGACACAATTCCGAAATCTCGATCGAGCCATTGATAATCAACCAATGCCGCCCCAATTCCGAAACACTTTGGCGATGGTTTCGTGTAATGACTGTTATGCCAAAAGTGCTGTCAAATACCACTGGTTGGGACTGAAATGTGCGATTTGTGATTCATACAATACAGCTCAACTGTCAATATTAAGTGATCCAGAAGTTGAAGCCCCAGCAACAGGAGTAGGAGATGCACAGACCGATGCACAAACCGCTCAGGAACCACGAGAAACGTTTGCGTCTACACATTTGATACCTGGTGTTCCTAGAAATCGTAGACATTCTTCCCACATACCTTCCTCCTCATCACAAGGAGAGTCCGGTCGATTCACTCCTTATTCCATCCCATCTCGGTTAGGTAGATCAGTTTCGCCAGCTCGAGGATTAGGATTATTTAGTAGTCAATCAGCGGCTGGCGGCCAGAGTGACGATTCTGGAGATGAGGATGACCTAGATTTCTGGGGAAGAGACGAGCCACGAAGCTCCAGTCGATTACGAGCGACGCTTGACGCAGGCGTGGATGCACAAGATGATAACGATATTGAATATGAAGATGATTCCAGTGACTCGGAGTCTGGGAATGATGACGACGATGATGACGGTGAAGAGGAACCATTTGCCATTTTTGGACATCGTTGATACTTGCATGAATTGGTAATGGGAAAAATTGCATTTTAAGGCGTTGATTCTAGCGCTGCAGCATTATGAGGCCACTAGATGGTATGGAGGCGCACTGGATATTTTTTGGGCATGGCTAGGCAGGGAAGGAGGTTTATACATGTATCACTCTTGTAGTAATCTAGAAGTAGTGAAACTACCATTCTTTTGATTGTTCATCCTTGATTTTGACACTCTAGTGACTCTCGTATTAAAAGCCCACGTCCTCATGGTGAAATCATACTGTCCGCCTTGGGTGCTTGGAGGGTTCCGTCCGATGCTCGCCGAGTTTTTCTCTCTGAACCAATCTCCAGGATAATAATATATTAATGCTATACATAGACTCTTGTAATAGCTTTCTGACCCGAGTCAAACCCCAATAACGCCTCGGTATATCCTTCTAACGTCTTACATCAAAACCACACATTAGATGGGTCCTTCAGTAACTGGTATCTTATTATGCACTCTTCATTGCTAAAAACCCATCCATATCCCCATCCCCATTACCAGGCCATTCATTCCCCCTCCTGAACAACCCCCTGAGCAATCTGTCTTCTCACTTCATCCGCGTCTTTTCTCAGTTCCCTAACGACTGTCTATTTGGCAGATTTTCCGTTAGCTTTGATCTTTATCATATGTTGTTGTCCTTTTCATTCTGGACCATTTCCCCTCTTCCTTCTCCCGCCCTCTTTTCCCGCTCTCTTTTCCCATATCCTTCCCACAGTATCCAAAAATCCCTAAACACAAGACCCTTGAAAGGAAAAAGAATAAATACTCACAGCGAGAGCTTCCGGATTAACTCCATTCTCAATAAGACTTATACAAATACTCAAGGTTCCACGATCGAGTTCTGCATTCTGTGTTGCGTGTTAGCTTTTCCTTTTCCTATCTTTTCTCCTGTTCCTCCCTTTTCTATTTTCTGGCTTCCTCCCTTCCTCTCTCCCTTTTTATCCCTTTTTCCCTTCTTCCCTCTCTACTTCCCATCCCAATCCTCCCTTCACCCTCAAAAGAAAAAAACACAAAAACAAATAAAACAAATTAAAACCTACAAGTAGCGTAGAAATCTCATGAAACACATCGATGACCTGACGAGCTTGCGCTGCACTAGTAGCTTTGTCGGGTTTTTGAGATGTGTCTGCCATTTCTGGATGTGTGACGTTGAGCTTTGGTTCGTGAGATACCTAGTGGGAAGGTGAGGTTGGGCGCGTTTACTTTGGTGAAGTTGATTGCGGGGATCTTGAGATAAGGAAAATGAATCTTTTTGGAAATGGGATGGAACTTTGATTTCCTTGGATTGGATGGGTTTTATGTGTTTATGTAGATAGGTAGGGGGAGACTTTGAAATGTTTTCTCCTTCGAGAATCGTCATAATCATAAGTTGTTGGGATAATTTTGGTCTTTACAACCAAGCAAGTGTTAGAAAGGTCATTTCGTAAACAATCAATATGCCACAAAAAAGTAAATAAACAGCATTCATGGCCCGAATTCATTATCATTAGCATATTCTCCATAATCAATAATTTATGACATCCTTTCCAAACTTTATACCTCGTAACCTCAATTTTTAACAGCTTCGACAAAGAGTTCTCTCATACCCTTTAACAACACACGCAGATCTCGAGTTTCATTCAACTTATCCACCACTCTTTCAATATGCTCCTTCTCTAATTTCGGCTTGCAATATGGAATGTCATAATCCCGCTTCGATGTATCAAGTTCGAACCAAGCCTCTCTATCATAGTCATTATCATCAATATTCGTAAAAATAAACTTCAGTCGGTCGTTTTGTCCTGCTCCCTCAATCATGAGACCCAAATTCGAAATCCAGAAGTCGAGTTCAGGTACATTGAATCGAGCTTGTTTGTCGATATACTGAGCGTGAGATTTCTGCGCGGCGACTCTTGCATTTATAGCTTTTTGTGTCTCGGCGATCTGACTCTTTAAGGCTTCTCTCGTTGCAAGTTGTGCGTCTCTTTGAGCAGTCAATGATGCAATTGCTACTTGCATTTCGGCAGTTTCTGCGTCTTCCTTTGCGAGGGTCTGTTGATGGGTACTGGCTTTCGATGACAAGACTTCAATATCTCTCTTTTTCATACGTTGATCCTCTGCTATGTATTAGTTGAATGCGCATTACTGTAAATGAATTGAATACAAACCATGTAATTCAGTTACATTCATTCGGAATTGGTTTCTTTCTTCTAAAACGCGCTTTCTTCCTTGCTCTATAAATGCATCAAATTTGACCGTAAATTTTGCCATTCTATCGCGCAATTCATCGAAACCAAAGTTTATACTTGGAAGAGTGTCTGCCATTGACGGGGCATCCGCCGAAGACAAAGGTGGACGCATCATGCTGCTGGACATACTCGTAGAGAGCGAAGGCTCAAACATTGTACTCATTGTGATGTTGTCGTGGATATTCTAGGGAATTGTGGTATGTGCTGTATTGAAGTCGGAATGATATATTGGCTGCTGGTGGGTTGAGTGTTGTGTTTATTATGCGCTTAACTCCGTGTATACTTGTGGGATGACAAGAAATGTAAGATCTTGATTTGCACCAGAAATGTTCCATTCCCGATAAGCGGGTTGTCAAGGAAACCAATATTTTAAAAGGTCCCGCACTAGTGGAGCCCTCAAAGGTCGCGGTCTCAAAAAAAAGTACAATTTATTTTTACCTGATCAACTTTTTTGTTTTGCTTTTTCACTTTTATGACAGAAACTCTCACTCATTTTACACCTCACTTTGATTCTACGATATATAATTCTCAATAAATCAGCGAGAGCTCCGAAATGATTGGAAGGGATTATTGTGCAAACAGAAGTCCTCCAAAACCCAATGACTGACCACAGGCCGACTGACCTGGTACATGGTCATTTTGGTGAATTTTCTTACGACATTAATGAAGAGCAGTGGCTGTTTTCACAAGATCTGAATAGAGGTAGGAATGATTTTTGACTGTACTCTTGAATCCATCCTTACCGTTTTCTCAGTTCATCGATTTCAACAACTTCTTCCATTTGCGCAATGCATTCCTCCCTCGATTCGAGATATACCTAGAAATGGTAAATTGATAGCTCGGACCCAACAAAGATGGCTCACGAAAAAGCGACCCGAAACGTTTCCGGGAGGAACCCTTACCGCAAACTTCTTCAAAAATACTCCCGATGCGACATTGAATCGTCTCAAGACTAGTACACTGATGGCAATCGGAGGTGCTGCGGATTACGATCATACCTCTGGTACCAAAACTGCACTGATAGTAGCGATTCCATGTGGTGAAGCTGGCCATGTCCTGAAATTAGTCAAACCTCGCCCCGAAAGGCTTGGATGGGAGTCTCAGAATGGAGTTCGATTATCAATGGGTTCTGCCAATGTGGATCAAGGGCATTGGTTCGGCACCGGTGGGACTATTTTGCAGATTGCGTCTGTCGATGGTGGAAACGAGCTTAGTACCTGGTTCGCAGTTAGGCAGGCGGCCATGATTACAATTTTCAGACCCATATTTCGAAAAGCTCCCAAGCCTTTCATAGCCCCCGCCGGACACATTGCGACCTATCCTCCGTCTTGTCTGGACGCCAACCCTGTCGCAACTTTAACAAGCCAAGAATCTGGATCAAAGGAACATGTGGATGTTAGTTTTAACCCCTGGTACGCTAGACAATTTGCGGTCGTGGACCGCGCAGGTCAATGGAGCAGTTGGGATATTGAAGGTCGACAGAAGAAACGTTCCGCTTTCAATATTGTACCGGCGAAGATGGGCCAGATTTATGACGACTTCGGCGAAAATCCTGCTATTCCAGCGTGCAAGTTACCTGGAGATGTTTGCGAGTGGCACCGAGTCCTCTGGGCAGGTAGCGTAAGCACTATGATAGTCGCGAATAGGAGACATCTTGCAATTTTTGATACAAAATCTAAGCCAATACGGCTACCTTCTCACTCATTTAATACTTCGCTACTAAAAGACTGGATATTGGATATTAAGCGTAGCACTGTTGATCTTTCACATTTGTTTGTTTTAACTACGACTCGGATTTTTTGGCTGAAGGTGACACCGACTGGCGAGGATGGTCCGAACGTGGAGTCTGGAGTCAAAGTTATTCTCTCGCATCAACATTACAGAACTGCAACCGATGATTCAATGAAGTTGACAATGTCTAAGGAGGAGAATGGAACAGACTTGACAGTATTCATCTCATCCAGCGAAAACTCAAGATTGAATACATACACCTTTTTTATGGATGGGAAAATCGCGAGGACTTTCCAGGGAACATTCAGACTTTCCCCTGTGATAAGCGAGGAAAAAGAACTTAGAGGAGAAAGTCTTTCTATATGTTCTGCGCCTTATCTGATGCCAAAAGACTCGGCTGAGGGTACGGGATTAGAATATATGGAAGCAGGAGTGAAATTTTACCAAGCATGGATGCTCACGACAAACCTCGAGCTAGTCTCTTGTCTATGGGCATCCGAACTTCTCAGCTCACAACAGAAGTGGACTTCACAGCCCAGTCTAGTTGCACCAACAAACAGGGTCATGGATAACTCTATCCGCCTGACAGCTAGACGACTTGCAGATGATTTCATCGTTTCTGATGAGGATGATGAAGATGCTTTTGTAGACCAGATGAGCTCTTTAACAACCCCAAATGACAGGTCTTCGATAGACATCAACAAAGCTTCTAAGGATCTGCTTCTCAGGATAAATATGAAGCCCGTGTTCGAGCGAATATTCAATAAGACGACGTCGAATGATTCGGAAACTGATATGGAGATGGCATTTCGTGATATATCAATTCAGATGCAAAACGACAAGCAAATGGATAGAATGTCGTTGAAAACTTGTCTTGAGCTATCGAATAATGCATCACCTTCAGGTGATCTCGATGAGGCAGCCAAGACTGTAACCGAATTTCTGGATTTCATGAACACACTCGATGAGGATGAAGAGGATGCATCATCAAAATTCCACCTTTCGAAATTGATATCTTGTCCAGGCGTGTTTTCTGACGATCTTTCATCTGACACTATCTTTCCTGATTTACTGCAAATATATGATGAACTCATCAATGTTTGGGTGACAAACCTTCCTCGCAAGACTCCTGGGCCAGTTCGGTTGGCAAAAGCGAGACTTATCCGAAAAATTGCTATGGAACTATGGTTGAGTTCGGTTGGTATTTCGCTACGTAACAAGCTCCTTGAGCCAAGACCTCCACCAATCGTTGAAGATGGAACATCATTGCAGATGCTTAAGGACATTGATGAAGTCTCGAGGGCAAGTTCGCCTCCATTCTTTAGTTCACAGAACCATTCCAGAACAGTGGAGAATCCTCAGTTTAGCCTACCCACTCCCGCTCCTTCAGTCATATCAGCCGCCACAGTCATTGAGGACCCTACCATTGCCCGACTTCGCCAATACGCGGTTAGGCTCGAGCCAAAAAACGAATTCGGTCCAGCAAAAACTTCATTGACTTCCCAATGGCCATCTGTCCCAGGTGCAGATCCGGCCAAATATTCTTGGGAGGCCGTTCAGAGAGCTGCAGCTGCAGAAGAGAGTGGCGACGATGATTACCGTAGCCGACGAGAAAATGCCCGGCGCAAACGGCGAGCAGAAAGATTCTTGAGCCGAGAGCGTGCCAATGCAGCTGCATCTTCATCTCAAGGTCTTGCCCAACCTTTTGGCAGTCAACCAGCGATGTACAACACTTATAGTTCGCAACCTGTTAATGAACTACCAATGACACAACCAAGTGAAGGTACTTTTGGTAGCAGAGTTGCTGCTCCTGCTACTCCTGGAAAGAGGAAATTGAAAAGACGCAGGGCTGCAGGGTTTTAGAGATAGAGAGATTGGCTGCATGTTTTGGTTATCGAAGTCACCCTTTTTTATTGGGCTTGTGTTTGGCGTAAGCATTGTTCGATCTGTAATGTGATGTTTGGCAGCAGTTTTAGAGACCTATTATGTATTGAGTGTATGATAATGTAAAGTAGCTTATGTCAAGGTTACCCGTACTCCATATATCAAATGCGATTATCCAGGCCTGGTTTAACGCCATAAGAGCAATGTAATCAATTCATGGCGGCTATATGTTGCCATCCGTCGATGGAATTTTTCCAGGAAACATCGGCCAGTTGAATTAAAAATTAATAGAATGATTGGTGAATCTTTCCCTCTGTAAATTGGTCATCGGTGACCCAAAAGAGCAAATTACCTTCTCCAACTCGAAATAAATTCTTCTCAAATTCTCCAAATTTTCAGCAAACATCGAAAGCCTCGGAAATAATGTCGAGTCACTGTCATGATGAGCATGACCACGGCCATGGCGGCCATTCTCACGAAGGGCACGATCATTCCGACGATATCACCCCCGCGCTTCAGTACTCACTCTATCAACACATCAGTTTTGACGACATAACCACACTCAACGAAGCTTCTTCTGGATCCGGAAAAGCCATCGTAAAGAAAACATGGGATGAGCGAATGAACGAACAACCAGAACTCGAAAGCGATGCTGACGAGCAACTTTTGATGCACATTCCGTTTGTTTACCCCGCCTTTTTACCCCTCCAAACCATCTCTCACAGCAACCCATAGCTAACATATACATCCCGACCCAATAGCTTCACAGGCCAAGTAAAACTCCACTCTATTATCCTCCGCACATCGAATTCGGATTCCGCTCCAAAGACCCTCAAAGTCTTCATCAACCGCGATGATCTTGATTTCAGCACCGCGTCGGATCTGCAACCCACGCAGGAATTCCAGTTGAGTCAGACGTCTGAGATACAGGATATTGGGGTTAAGAGAGCTTTATTTGGGAAAGTACAGAATCTGACGCTGTTTGTGGAGGATAATTATGGAGAGGATGTGAGTCGCATTTGTTATCTGGGCTTCAAGGGCGATTGGATGCAGTTGGGTAAGGCCCCTACGAATATTTTGTATGAGGCGGCTGCAAATCCGAGTGATCATAAGGTTAAGGGCACAAGTGCGAATCAGATGGGTAGTAATATTGGACAGTGAGGGGGCAGGGATGGTGGTTTAGCTGTATGGGAGTGTGTGTCTCTGTATCAGGTTTGGTGCGCGGTGGAGGTGGAGGTGGAGGTGGAAAGTAGAAGAGAAGTTTGGTTCAAGGCAACAGAATTACGAGTTTCTATGGACACAGGTCCAAAGACTCGAAAGAAGGTATTTAAAGTATGGGAAATGGAAAGTCCGTTTTCTGCCAAAAATTATGTCACTAGGTTGGAAATACCCCCTCCATCATGCAGGTTTAAATCCTTAATGATATCCATTACAACAAACTACATGAAATCATCCAAGAAATCCTCTCCTCTATCTTGATTATTTGCCTCTTCATCATCATCCTGAACAAATAAATCATCATATGCATGATCCTTCTGCCACTTCTTTTCCTTATAGTCCTGAGCCTGTCTCGCCTCTTGTTTCCTCTGATTCCAAATTAGTAATGTCTAAATACTCAAAGACACCAATTACGTACCCGTTCCAAAAGAGCAGCTTGATCCTTCTTTCTCGCAGCCTTCAACTTCTCTTCCTTCTCCATTGCCAAATCTGGGAACTTTTCAACCTTCGTCTTGTTCAAACGGTTGACTATTGGATTTTCCCTCGCAAGAACCATAATCCTCTTAACCTAGTACCAAAACGTCTCAATATCACATAATATAATACATTGAATCATGGAATCAAATGAACTACTCACAGTTTTCTGATTCTTAAAACTAACTTGTCCAACCGCCATACTTCCATCTTTCTTCAAATTTGACCATGGCGTATAGATAATCGTAATATTATCCTTCTTATTACCTATTTCAGAATCATCAATTCACATATCCTCACTACACGTCCCACTCTTCCTAAATATTCACTCCCACCTACCTTCAATAGAATTGGCTTTGGTAAGTTGCGCACAATCCATCAGTAAATCTTCTGGAATAGTTTCCCAGGATTCTCCCTCATTGAGACGAAGATATATATGCGCACTCGACAACTTGTCTACGTGAAACCATACATCCTCTTCTAATCCATGCTTGATGAGATCTTCATCTGTGGGGTACCGATACGTTAACATGTGTTTCTTTGAGTTTGGGATTCAATGGGATTATTTCTTACTTTCAAATTTGTCTTTTCCAGCATAGATATATGCTGCTGGAGAAACGGTATTAGAGGTGTAATAATACACCATTTTGTTATATCGTAAATCTTTCCATAAAGTTGTGTCTCGTCTACATTGTAAACATGAAGTCCGGTTGAGTCGTTTGATATTGACCGCACTCCGAGCTCATCCCGGTCACCGTATAAAGATTTTCTCCCCTCTCCCCATCCATCACCAAATCTCCAATTAAGCTTCCACCCCAACCCAAACAGCATGGCACCCAAACTCCCCACCAGCTGGGCGCAAATCCCACCCTCGTTTCTCCTCCCCGAATCCCTCCTCCCCCTCATAACCAAACGCGGCGTAAAATATGGCTGGACGACAGCCCCTCCCCGCTCCCACCCCGAACGCTTCAACCAGCAAAGCGCCGGTTTACCCATCCTCTCCGCCTCCTCAACCGCTGCTCTCGCCCGCAAAGACTTCACCCTCCCATTACGCACTGGCGCCCTCGGTATAAAAAAAGGAATGACCGCGCTCTACGACCCCGAAACCGGTGTCCGCACACCATGTACCGTTGTGCAACTAGATCGCGTACAAGTTGTTGCGCATAAGACCCGAGAAAAGAACGGGTATTACGCGGTACAAGTTGGAGCCGGCTGGAAACATCCTAGCAATGTTTCGAGGCCCGAATTGGGACATTTTGAAGCGAGTGAAGTAGCGCCGAAGAGACATATGGCTGAATTTCGTGTGAAGAATGAGGGAGGATTATTAGAGGTTGGGAGGAGTATTGGGGCGGAATGGTTTATAGAAGGGCAGTTTGTGGATGCGAGGGCGAATAGTAGGGGAATGGGATTTGCAGGAGGAATGAAGAAATGGGGTTGGAGTGGTCAGCCGGCTAGTCATGGTAATTCGAAGAATCATAGGACGATGGGTAGTGCAGGTGCAAGTCAGGGGAGTGGTTCGAGAGTTCATCCGGGAAAGAGGATGGCGGGACGCATGGGAGATCATCAGGTTACGATTCAGAATGTAAAGGTGCTGAAGGTGGATGCTGAGAAGGGTTTGGTGATCTTGAATGGGTGTATTGCGGGCCCAGATGGATGTGTTGTGAAGATCCAAGATGCTATTAAGAAGCCATGGCCAAAGGTACCATCGATACCTGCTCTGTTGGGAGGAGCTAAAGGGCCAGCGAAGATAGCTACCACTGCATGAGTTGAATGTTTTACTTTGTAATATTTGTATGAATACATGGCATATACAGGCGTTTTAGAGCAGAAACCCTTTAACGCCAATCCATTGACCTTTTCCCCGCAATCATTTAAGTCTACTATCGTCCCCTTGACACATTTACATATGCTTATCCATGCGCCCCAGTCATGAGTGGTATCCATCATCGCCATTGTGTAACCTACCCGGCTGATCATATTTCAGTTGACTTGTGCAGCCAGTGCCTCGACCTCATTTACCAACACGTCTGGCGTCTCTCATAACACACCCTCCCAATCTACCCCATAGTTCAACACTCTATCCAGACAAATTGGGCGCATAACTTCCTCTACCTGGCTCCGCCGACCTCTCCACATCTTCAATTCCCTTAAACGGATCCTCCCCATCCAACAAATCAATCCTAACCTTCTCATCCCCCTCCCCACCCTCTAAACTCCACTCCGTCGTCTCAAACATTCCCTGTCTCGTAGGTCTAAAACTCGTAAACTTCATTGTACCACTCCTCTTCGTCCCTTTGACCTCAAACTGTATATCAATCCTGCCATGCAATTGATTCATCTCGCCCCAAATCCAAGGCATTTTATGCGCAAAGTATATCTCATCACCGAGGAATTCGCGCGCTTTGGGCGATGTGCGCAGCGCGTAGAGTGTGGAGGATACGACCGAGGATGAGGATTTTTGGTAGTTGAAAATAGCGAGGGTGCTAGAAATTAGGACGGCGAGGAATATGGGAATTGAGCGAACCCATTTCATGCCATTTTCGGGAAGCTCTGAGTCCTTGTTAGTATGTTCCTTATCATGATCTCAGGCATCCATTGTTGAAGCCAGGAAAGAAAAATTACCAGGTAATTCCCGATCTCCCCTCCTCTCCATCAAGGGACCATCTCCAGCTTTCGGTGCCGCAACTAGCGTTCTCCTGTGGACAAGATTCCTCGCATTGTTTACATAGTTTATCCTCAATCTAGGCAACACCCTCGAGCTTCGTAGTAATCCTGGTAGCATTTTGTTGTATGATATATGGCTTCAACAATTGCAAGCAAAGGTTACAGAATGGAGAGGGGCTAGAATTGATCATTCGATGTGACCCGCTAAAAAGTTTCCGTGAAGTGTGGCGCACATGCGAGGCTGACAGCTCTGTGCAAGGCTTGAGCTCCAGCTCCAGCTTCATGTTTCAATTGTATGGTTTAATTGTTTGTCAAGATATTATAGATATTTGGGTTATAGCAAGTTTCGAAAATGGAACAAACTAGTGCTCGCCTACGCAGGACATTTCGCTATCCCACAGATAGTGACTCCGATGACTCGTTGCCGGAAGCTCTTGATGAAGAAGGTACACCTGAACCCCGCTATCCACTCCATCACATCATTCCAAAACTAACCCTTCTCCATCTAGAACAAGACAAGCTAATCCAACATCTCGCCGCCCTCCATACAAAATACAATGCCGTCTACGCTCGACTTCTCCTTTGCCTTCCCCTCATAAGCATCATTCCCTACCTGCTCACCCTCTTCTCCCCAGCAACCTCTCTCCTCAGTATCCTCTCCATTACCTCACTGATGTCCACCGCCTTCCTCGTTTACTCTTTACCACCCGAAAAAACATCGATAACTATCCTGGATAACTTCAATCAACCATCTCAAGATGCCCCTCTGTTAAAAACAGGAAGGGTGCTAGGAGTCAACAGAGTCGACGACGGACCTCTTCTAACCTACCTTCCAACACTCAATCTCCTTCTCAGTTTCATTCTTGGTGTTCTAGGAACTATCGTCAAATCTAAGCACAGATCAAATCCTAGAATCGCCGATGCGGAGTCAGATATCTGGTGGATCGGATTCGAATGGTTACCCTTTGGAATCTACGCCGTGGTATTGCTAGCAAAAACCGTAATGGGAAGTGTAAATCCCGAAGAGGAGTTGGGAAGTTTGCGGTATGGATATAAGGGAGCATGAAGAGTGTTACGTTACATCTACACTAGTAAATCTAAAACTCTGGAATGTTCTTTCGAATTGTGAAGTCCAACTTGAACATTTATCACTATCATCTAATCTTTTTTACTATTAATGTTAGATCTTTTGTTGCACCTCTAGAACGATTTTCTGAGGATTTAAATTGAAAGCCCCTGAAGTCCCCGGTTCTGAAGATCTGCCTCTCTGTCTACTCTATCCTTGATATGGCTATCTAACATTGTATAGCTACAAAATACAAAAATGACATTAAGAGACTAGACGAATAACAAACGATGTTGATTCTGGAGTTGAAGATTAGATACCTAGCTCATCAGGAACTTAACTCTCTCCCCCTTGATTTTAGCGAGCAGTAAACGAAGATAGTACATACAGTAGCGGATGTATTTCCAAATTTACGATGTATCTTGATCTCAATCTTTTTTCCCGGGATATCATATCAAATATCTTGCATTAGGATCTTGTATGGAGTTGTTTGTTAGGATTTATTGAATAACAGATGAGATATGATAGGATAGAGCTTGACGGGTAGAAAATACAAATGGAGTACAAATGGAATAGATAGATAGTAATTTGAGACGCGAGGGAAAGCTGATGTGGGAAAGGATTTGGGATGAGAGGGGAGAAGGAAGAGTTTGGATTGGTAGCTCAATAAATGAGTGGAATGGTTAAAGAGTGAGTAAGTGTCGGTCGTACCTATTGAGAGAAGGTGAATGGAACTAATGCCAGGAATAAGACGATTGTCTTTAGAAACTTCCTCCCTATTACCTCCTACTCCCTATTTATGTAGGTCCCTTGACATACATCCGCAGCACCTACGATACCAACACAAACACGCAGATGAGATATCACAACCCAAATGTTTCAGAAAATAGTTTTTTTAATTCTTAGATCTGGATTCCTCCAATTAGAACTAAACTCCCACCCATAAATCCCCAGCAATCCCATCATCTAAGCTATTATTATACCCGATTATCTACATATCAATACTTTCATTGAATCTCAAGACACCATTTACCTTCAAAACCCCATCGACTCCATCCGGTAATCGTGGGAACGGATCATTATAGGATTTCTTCTCATCTATCGGCTCTGCGGATTTGTCAATCACTAGTACGAGTCCTTGTGATTTGATTGCTTCGATTAATGCTGGTACCATATCCTATTATTTGTTAGTCAATGAATTCAAACTTTAATGATAAAGCAAATAAAGGTAGACGGTGAGATATGATGGATGTCTCAGGTTGCTGAAATAACTTACCAAAAGTCTAGAAGAACAAATCAAACCCATGAAATTGTTATTCTTCGCAAGCCTGACCGATTCTTTAATAGAAGTGGTTCTCCTTCCACTAATTTCCACCTCCATATGCTGACTCCGCTCCCCTTCACGGCCTAGATCATTGCACAAGAACACTGGGTAGTTAGGTTGTTTCCAATTGAGGGTTGTGCAGATGGTAGGGTTGTATGAACTAAAAACGATCGACCTCATTGCATCCGGAGATCTTTCTCGGAGAGTTCTCGCGTGGTCAAAAACTACTGTGAGGATGGAGTCACCAAACGCGTTGATGTTTACGGTGGGGCTCAATTGCATGCGTTTTTCTTCTTCCAAAGTTGGATACAAGATTTGGAGATTAGCATGCATGCCTTTTGGGAGTAAGGAAAGTGCATCTTCGAGAGATACAGCAGATTCCGCGAGTACGGCATGAATCTCGGTAATATTTTCCAATGGCATCCCAGGTAAAGCAGATAGATCTTTGGCTAATCTACTTTGAGTTGATCCAGCACTTATGAATTGAGCATAAGTTAGACGACAAACTGGAAATTCAATATTGCTGTAGATAATGTTCCAACGTGGCCAAAGAACTGGGACTCCATCACACGTGTGTTGGACAAAAAGTTGGATATAGTCTCCCGACAAACTTGATCCAGTAATAAAAGCACTCGGTCTAGAGTCAAATTGACTCGTAGCTTTCCAATAGGTTTCGAAATCTGTGATTTCCAGTGGTTTGCCTTGAAATGGTTTGATTACTTGGAAATTGAAGGTAATTTGTCCGATAGCTCTTAAGCGTGGATCAAATAAAGGTAAGCAACAACGACCGGAACTGCTTTCTAGTGCTCGAAAGGTACTAGGTAATGCGACAGTCTTTGCAATGACTTTGGCACCATATGTAGGAAAGACATCGAAATCGATGGCGAAAGATTCTAAATTATCAATTTGAAATGAAACAAGTCGGGTATCTTCTTGGAATGGGAGTAAAATATTCTTGGGGATCAAGTCTGAAAGTTTGGAAGAAATAGTGAGGCGCGCTGCAGGATATTTGCTGTCATGAAAGAAGATCATCGGTTGCTCCCCATTTTCTTCCACAAAGCTGATTTGAATGAAGGTTTTTGTATCAAGGAAATTATGACCATATCGTCGTAATGGAATAATGGGAGGTGGTAATTCCAAATCTGGGATACCATCAGCATCAATGCTCATTGGCATAGGAGCACTGCTTCCCATCGTGGGTGCGATAATTGGAACTGAAATAGCCTTTTCATCTCTGGACGATTGTGGAATTAAGGACAAGAGTCTCATACACTCCAAATATCCTTCCCATGCCGCATAATACATAGCAGAAAGATCCTTTTCGTCACGAATATGGGTCTCAACTCCAACATCCAATAAAGTTTGCATACATGGTACGTTTCCTTCACTGGCTGCGTGGAAGAGCGGTGTCCATGAGTAAAGTTTGTCGATTTGATTGAGATCCGCGCCATAACTTTTCAACAAAAGAAGAAGCTGTGGCGTCTGACCAGATCGTGCAACGAGATGTTGAGGATATAGTCCTTCGGCATCTGGAAGGATTTTGGCACCGTGTTGAAGAAGAAGTTCAACAATTGCGACAGAGCCATGTTCACAGGCCAAATTCAGAGGAACATGATCTGCATCGGATATCGGGTCAATTCTGGCAGATCGGTCAAGTAACCTCTGAGCACATTCTATATGACCGTGAATGATTGCATGGATAAGAGGAGTGTAGTTGTCGTGATCTATCAGATCAATTGTAGAATGATCGGCTAGAGAGGCGAAGCTTATTAGCATTTACAAACGAAGCAGTTAAAGTAAAATCATACCATTCAGCAAATCCTCCATCATATCAAGTCGGCCATGCATACACGCATAATGCAATGGTACACGTCCATATACGTCAGTTCGGCTGACCGTTACTCCCTTAGAAAGTCCAACGCTCAACACAAAACTGTTACCATAAATCGTAGCTTGATGAAGACAATTACGCTCATTTATGTCATCTTCGGACTGTACATCAACCAAGGCAGTATCCAAAAGTAGCTGCAATGACTGCTTGTGGCCTTCACTGACAGCTGCAAGGAATGTTCGAGTGATTCTTTCCATTAATGCGATATCCATGGTACCACTAGGATCGGTCGCGATCTTCATACGTTGAAGGAGATCTTTCAAAGAGTCTAGATTTCCGGAAATTACAGCTTCCAATAATAAGGTGTCAGCGTCACCTTCGTCGGTACCCAGTAAGTGTTGACTGCTCACGACATGTTCTTGGCTTCTGTCAAAGCTAACATTGTCGCCTTCAGACCAAGCCCCAAGCTCTTGTAGGCTCATGGTGGCCTGGTCAGATAATTCACTGATAGCAGTCGCATCGAAGAATGGTTGTACCTCAACGGCTCTTGAAAGATACAGCTCCTTCGTTTTTGATTTGGAAGTTTTGTCCCATTTTTTTAGGATCTTGGAGAATGCAATACCATTTACCTCGACAAATTGTTGCAGCTTATTCAAATCATTGCCGAACTGTTGAAAACCTTCTTCTAGTGTGGTGAATTTCGCAGAACGTCTTGAAGTAGTTTGACTACGGGTCTGGAGGACCTTTTTCTTGTCTAGTAGAGTCTTCAGCCGGATTTTAAGCTATATTTCATCAGCAGGTGAGTTTTCGGTCGAGTTTTGGTGAATAACACACCTCAGCTTCTTTTTGAAGGTAGAAGGCATTAACCTTCTCAAGTTCACGTTCCTGTGGGACGATCAGCAAAACATGTTTTTCCAAAGGGAAAAAAAGAGCAACGCACTAGTTGGAAGAAGAAGGTAGCTTTGTTTGCTTGCAATGCGGCTTGGGAATCAAGGACCGGTGTCGAACGGTAAAGTTCATTTTGCGCGAGAATTATGGGTGTAGCGGAGAGCTTTTTGATGAGCTATTATGAAGTTAGTAAATGGTAAATGTTGCCCCTTCATCAAGCTCCCGCGAGATTCGAAACTTGAAGCTCGTTGCTTGGATGCCTGGTTGCAGATTGAAAAATAGTTGGGACGAACCTTCTTTAGGGCTTTATAATTAACGAAACTAGCTGCATACTCGGGCACTTCGAGCTGCCTTTTCTGGATTTGCTTTCCAAACTTCCTGTGCAAGGATAGTTTAGTAATTATGGCTCCAAAGACGGTGGATTGGCTTGAAGTAGGGGTGAAACGTACATGATAGACCGCTTACAGTCTTAAACCCCAGAGGTGATGAATAACAGAACTGATAAATGGAAGAAGGATGATATTTTTGGTTGAAGGCTTGCGGGTGGTGGATCTATCAGATCACATGCAAATCATGACTATAAATCATGCAAATGCTACATCCATAAGCCAACAGGAGTATGACGTCGAGAAGTACGAAAGGGTTCGTTTCTGAGGTATGAGGTATGAGGTATGAGGTATGAGGTATGAAGACGACCAAAACCAGATGTTCTGCTGTGTAATACACGTGGACCTGCACGAAGCTGTGGTGATCACTTGTGTCCGTATTATCGCTACCTTGATACGAAAATAGAAGATGATCGGATGAGAAGGAGGAATTCTAGTGGGTGAAGAGAGTAAGCAGTGAAAGAAAGAAGTCAAGTAACATCAATCTATGAATTTAATACAATAGAAACACTCTTGGAGATTAAATAAATTGAAAATTGATGATGTTCAACTATTTTTTCGTGGGTTCGCTCTAGAGCTCTCGAAACAGAGAGGTTTGGCCAAAAGAGGACTAGTGAGGGGCAGGCGCAACGTCAACAGCAAATGATTGTGGTTGTGCTTGATTTTCTTTGACTTGATACTTACTAGTCAGTACTTTCCTAGTAAGATTACCTTTGTGACGTTTCGATGAATTTGTGTTACTTTATCTTGTATCTAGATTTTGTGAATCAATCGAAAAGGGTTGACCCGGCTACTTTCAAGCAAATTGATCAAAGTGACTGGACCGTTGTCGCTTCTTGCCAGCTTCCTCTTGCTTGCCCGTAAGACCCAGCAAGGAGATGGGCGGCTTAAGGTTTTCATGCAGCATTCATGCCTTCCATAGCTATTCCTAGCAAATCATTACCCCACGTGCTAAAACACGAGGCTAACAAGGCTGAGCAGTTGATAAAGGTGGGGTCCATGGGACGTTCAAACTCGAGACGTTCAGATGTTTCCAAGGTTGTTGAATTTACATGTTCATAAGGACAGTTTACAAGTCATTCATCAGTGACGTTCATCGACCCATCATCACAGAAACTTCAAAAGTGGGAGGTAGAAATTGATTAGGTGAAATGTGGACTGGATTTTTGCATTGAAAGAGTGTAGTCACCATTGAAATTGATCCGTCTAGAGTTTCATGACCGTACTTCCCAGTAAAGTCTCACTGGCCTATACTATCTATCAATCATCGAAATAGGGTCTGTGGATTTAGACATCGATGCAATGAGTAACTCATTCTCGATGCTAATGGCTCCTGACGAGCCATGTTAGGCTCTACCCCAAGTTCATAGTAGAATCAATTTGGATATCATGAAAAAGTACAAACAAGCTTATCCAGCGCCCCTTAAAAAAAAGTTCCAGAATTGTGATTATGGATTCCTCGACACTCAAGACTTGGTAGCCAGTTCCACTGCGACTTTGTCCTTGGTACCAGACGTCTCAGCTGGTTCAGGCTTCTTCGCCGGCTCACCGATATTCTCGGACATTGCTTCGGCTGCTGCTTTCTTGAGCCTCTCCGCATCATCGGTACGAATTTCTTTACCACCAACTCGATCTTTAGATTCCTTTTCGTCCTCGCTATCTCCAAGACTGAATGGATCATGGTCGTTATCGGCGTCACCAATTGGACTTGGCTCCATGGTACTTAATGGTTGCCATTTACTCTGTTTGGTAGATGGAGTGTTTTCTTTTCCGCCAAGTTTTGGTGAAGTGCGATACAAATCATCTTCAACTGTGGCATTTTGGAATGATACCTTTCGGCCTTCAGGTTTTGGAGCAGTTGTGGTTGGTTTGAATAGGTCAGGATTTGCAAGTGGGCGTGTAGATCGACGGGCTGCAGGGCCAGGTGCCTGGTAAGCATTTGCAGAATGACCTGCACGAGAGTCACTACCTTCATGCCTACTGCCATCCACATTCAGCTGAATCCCAGCGAAATCATCGCCGAGAACCTGGGGATCAGCATCATATCGGTTATAATCTCCACTCTGTCTGCCTTCCCCACTTCTTCGAGAACGATATTGTGTGTATTGATTAGAATTGTAACCCTGAGTGGAGGGTTCCTCCTCTGTGTCATCTCCATCGAGTTTCTTCTTCAAATTGGTAATCCAACTGTTGACTTTACTCTGTGTCTCAAGGAAACCCTTTCTGAGGTTTTCCTTGATGACTGGGAGATCGTCATCGAGGAAACTGCGTTCCTCCTCCTCCTCATACATTTCATTTGGCTTCAAGCCCGTTTGTTTCCGAGCCTGGGGATATGCACCCCTGGAACCACCTCTAGGTGCATGGGGTCCGTACGATGATGATCCTTCATAGTGCTCAGCAAGCTGACGTGCATATTGTTCATCGGATTCGAGTTGTGATCGGGGAGTAGAGCCTACTCTTTGCGCTTGTGGACGTGGGGGTTGCGGAGGTGGAACTTCGATAGCGGCATTTGGATCTGACATGCCTATTCATAATGGATATTAGGAATATGATCCTGTGCGAAAGGAATACAGACTTACCCAGGAGGGCATTGAAAGCAGGCTCAACACGACCTCCACTAGCAATCAAAACTGCTTTGACTACCGCTGCATCAATGCTTGGGAAGGCTTCTTTTAAAGTATTTTCTGCTTGCTGTTGGGGGCTCAAAGGGCGCGGAGGCTTTTGCGGAGGTTGCTCATCTGCAGTCTTAGTCGATGCCGGTACATCACCACTGGTAGTACCTTCTTGTACATCGTCGTCGTCCATATCAAACGGCGCTACAGTCGTTGGCGATTCTGGAGGAGGACTCCTATTCTGAAAAAAGGAGGTCAGTTAGCAATTAATTCTTTCATAATCCACGTTGAAATAACGCATAAAGTTGTGGAATCAAAGGAATGCATCAACTTACGAGGCTCTCCGAATTTTTTGTTGGTGCAGACATATTGGCAGTGCCTTTACCTTTGAGAAATGATTGTAGATATGATCAAGTGTAACGATGATAAATGGGTGTATGGGAATGTGTTCAAGCCTGGGGGAATGTGATTAGGGATGATAGATGGGTGGATTCTTCTTGCCTACCTAATTATTCTAGAAGCTGTCGTCACCCCACATGCGATTGTGGCACTGTCTCCGCTTTGTGGCTGTGCGGTATACACGTGATTTACTTCGAGCCACCCAATTAGCATGAGCTTTTGGTGGATACATATATCAAGGGCATCGCTGTTGACTTTATCACCAGACCGAGCAGTATATTAAAAGCTACGATTGTTGATACTGATATATTCCTCATTCAATTCCAATATCAAGTCAAACTGACTGAAGATACAGAACACTGTAAATGTATGTTTTGTCTTTCGGCTAGTCCAGCCTCCAACAGCTTTGACATCCCAATCGAGACTTCACGATGATTATAGGTCAGCTTAGCAGCCCTCTAAATTCTCCTACCTAGTACCTGAAATGATATGAGTGATCATGTATCTCTAAGTATCTCTTGCGAGGGCAAAAAGAGACAATGCGAAGGAAGCAACAAGATCCAGGGAACAAGCAATCCTGCCCCTCCACCTGCCCCTCCGCCTGTCCGAAAGTCTATCCATTTGTGACCCAGATGCCCAGCAGCAAAAAACCGTACTTCGTTGGGCAGTTAGCATGAAAGATGACTGGGTAATGTCAGTAATGTGATGTCTGAGCTGCCATACCTATTATATATGGAAACTTAAGATTCATGTGTAAGATTGATAAGTAGTCGTGTGGGCACCCGTGAGATGATAGATAGCTGACTTACCATTGCTCGACACCAAATAGGACATTTTAAAAAAGTCTAGGTGCAAATTGTCCACATTCGCTTCATTACACATCACTGGTCGAACTTGTCCCAAATGATGATTTAAACAGACATTAAATGATAGGCATAACTGCCGTTCATGGATGCCGGACCGTGTTGCACACATGCGATGACCCAGAATTTACCTATAAATGCTGTCCAAATCGACCTGATGTGTAACTATGTGAAATCGCGAATATGGAAAATCCGTCACACATAGCTTTATTGATGTCAAAACTATTTGACAATGCCCAGAACCACAAATCTCAAACCCGTGATTGCAATTCGATCTTTGAGCTGAGCATCTCAAAAAGAAAAATACTCGTTGAAGCATCAAAACAATATCATCCTTCGTGGTTGCTGCAAGTTAACGGCTTGTCATCATAACATTTATTGGTCGATTCATAAAGTTCCCTGTAGACACGTCCGTTGAGAGTGGACAAATTGCGAATTATTCTTGGTTTTAGGTGTGGGCGGCAGATTTTGAATTTGAAAACACAAAAACACAAATCATCGTCTTAATTTTCATGTGACTTGAGAGATGAAAAAGGATGCATGCATCGGCGTGTGATGTTGATGATCCGATAAAAATAATTGACCAGCCACTACAGTTCGATATCCAATATCCTGAAGGAGAAAAGGGGTCACCCTCGTAATATCTTCGTCCAATGTCTGAAGATCAGTGGGTGTGATATTATGCACATCAAATTGTTGTTTTCGGGGGATTCGTTGTATTGCAACACTCGTCTACTGTTGGTGAAAAGACTGGGTTTCGAGCTTTGGCGCCGCTCTGTTTGCGTACGTAGATAGATATGCTAATGATCGAGAAGTACTAGGGAAAGAGGGGTAGAAATACTTGACCAAAGTTAAATATCAGTAGTAAAGGTAGTTTCACGCTTATTGAATCGGCCACTTCTTAAAAGTCCTTCCTACCAACCGTTGAACGGTGCCCTTCTCATGACGCGATATCGGTTCCTCTGATGAGGGGTCCGGTGTACTTGGTGTCATGGAGGGTGAATGAAAAGATTAAAGATTTGATCATTACCAAGTAGCTGGGGTGACTAGCATGCCGGTCGAGTTGAAAACTTTGTTCATCATCCGTGTTTCCAAACCATTCGATGCCAGGGATTACGGAAGGAACAATAAGGAGATTGATATTGAAAAGGCTTTACTGAAAATGGATGACAACGATAAAATGATACAGTACTCAAGGTCAGGTAATCTCATGTACAGATGTTCGTTCATTCAATCAATCAGTCGTGCTGAATACGGAACATAGAAAATAGAAAATAGAAAATAAATTTTTGATCTTTTATTGAAAGAAATCAATATTCATATAAAGAAAAAAGGTAAAGGGAAAATAGAAGAAGAATAACAAATGGATAAAATATATAATAATAATGTTGATTTTCTTTGTAGGGAAAAAAAACACCCCTTCGCGTACCAAAATTACTAGGTAAAAGTAATCTTCAACTCGATCTAATAATAATGTAATAAAGTGAAAGAAGCACCGCACCAACATTCTCAGCCTTCACTCAACGCGTATAGTGAAAAAACGAGACAAGTCCATTTGCTCTTAATCATGATTTTCCATACTACCCCCATAACCTTTCCTTCCAACTTATTTATTACTTTCCGTTCAAAAGAAATTATACTCACTCAACACCATAAAATATTTTCGAATCATGTTGAATATCATCAACTTTTGACCACCCAAATCAACCCTTCGCCGATACCATACTATTGATTGAGGGAACAATCAAGTCAATCTATCATTCCTGACAAATTCAAGAACTCACCAACCCAATTTTGCGACCGACAGTTCAGAGTCTTCCACGTCCCACAGCCTCAACGACACCTTCACCATGGCTTCCGCAAGCAAACCTGCCTCCACTACCTCTGCACCACGGCGAAAGTCGTCGGGTCCAAAAGAGAAGAATACTCTCATCATCATCCTCAAATTATCTCCTGAGAAGTTAAGGAGTGTTGGTCAACCTTTGATCAAAGAAGACACTCCATCAAAGGAATCTACATCAACAATTCCAACTACTATACCCGTCGCAACGAGTCAAAATGGTGATGTTCCCACCGAGTCAAATTCAAATACTCCTGCACCGAACGGCACTGTTACACCCGTTCCATCATCGATGCCTCCTCCTACGGAAGCAATCAAGAAGAAAGGTGGTGTGAAGAGAAGTTCTACTGCCGCCTTAGGATCAGAATCAACTCCTAGGGTTAGAGGCAAACCAGGTCCAAAGAAGAAAGCAAGATTGTAAGTACATTTCACTCCTTCTCTATCATGGATCTCCAGCGTGATAGCTTTTCTCGGTCGCCCTTGGGGCTTTTGTTTGAGAAACTTCCACATATCCGTACTTCTGATCAATTACATAAACTAACTTCAATAAAGGGATGATGGCACAATCGACCCGACAGGCAATACTCCAAGAGCAACCAATGCAAATGGCACTTCTCATAGGCTTGGACCCAAGGCCAATCAAGGCGCAATCAATGCTGGTTTACGTGCACTCGATCGTTCTGGCAAACCCTGTCGCAAGTGGGAGAAGCGTTCTTTCATCATCAAGACATTCACGGGCATCCCTATCGAAATACCCCGATGGAGAGCCCCCCCTAAAGTAGCCATCAATCACAGCACCGAAGGTTCATCAACTGGTGATAGCAGCAAGGAGAACAAGGATAACAGCCAGGTTGAAAGTGAGAAGAGCAATAGCGCGATGGATGTTGATGCTACCCACCTCGCTAGCTCTCCTGCCCCTGCCCTTACGCCCGCTCTTGTCCCCGCTCCTCAAGCTGAAGCAAAAGCTCAGGCTCAAGATCAGCCCTCTGCGGTTATCACTGCTTCCGCCTAGAACGTTCCACTACTCTTGATCTTTTATCCTTTTGTATTAGAAGCCAGGTCCTGCCCGGCGGACCTCCTTTTCTCTTTAATGGGCGATATCTTCATGGAGCCGAGTTCCAGAGGAACCCTACTGCTTCATCACTACAGCAGTATATTGTATAAGAATTTATTTTGCCTCAATCTGGTGGAATTAGGAAAATTTGGGGTGGGGGGGGAGTTGAGGACGGCATAGGATGGAATGGAAATAAATCCCGCTTAGGGCAATGGTGTTTTCGGCGTTTCCTCGAAGAAGAGGGGGGCTCAATGTAGCATATTGTGTGTGGCCTGTGGGCTCACGTATCATTCCCCGAACAATTCAAGACCATTAGTACTTTTTGATTTCACTATCCGGTCAAAGTCGTCAAAGTTTGATCTCTACGTTCTCTATCATTACTTCTCAACCAGTTCAGAGTTGCTCCAATTGTGAAAATCTGCCGCTAAAGTCTACTTGATCTCAGTACACTAATACACATCCTTCTTTCTACCTGCTGTTCAAGTCCCGTCAGTATACTGCATGTGCTTTTCAAATCAAACCGATATTGCCTTTGTTAATCATCGGTTCTTCAGAGAATGATGTTCGAGAACACTTGAAAGCATTTGATTTTGTAAGGTACTAGGAATCTATCTATCTCTGTGCTTCCCCAAGATCCAGGCTCGAGCAAGTAGGTTATATATGGGAATTGAGGTGATTCGAGATGCGATATATTTGAGTTTAGCAGATATGCTAATTCTGATCTGGTACCGTGTCCACCTAGTATATTATTGTCCAATATTCGACACTTTGATTTCGATTGAGTGATATGTATGTGATTGATACAATTAGTACATAGTATGTCGAGACTTTAATCTGATATCCTTTGGATCATTCTAGACATAATTCTAAGAGAGAATTAATGGAAGGGAAGGGAAGGGTATCATTAACTCATGTACTCAGCCAAACACAATCACCTAGATAGATAGTTCTCGTATCACTTCATCAATATCTATTATCTGTCAACTGGATTACCTCTTTCTTTCATGGTAAATCAATGATAATTATGATGTTCCTGATAAATGCTCCTCGTGACGTTCACCACACCCCGGTTATCGGGGGTTGTGCCATAATGGGGTTAGCTTACGTATGATGAAATCCGCATATGGCAACTTTCGTTCCTCACCCCCCCAAGCTCCCATACCTACATTTATCGACGTATTTTGAAGTTTCGAAGTTTTGATAACAGCTTATTCATTCGTGTAAATCACAACCCGAACATTCACAGAAATAGAACTTATTGCAATATGTACTCGACTCGTACCCAACCGTCTCAACACATATAAGCTAGGATTATTCAACTTCGCTACTTTACCTCCAAGTCATGAAACGATCCAACTATCGGTACATAACGATCACACTTCGTCTCCATATTGGTCCAGTCCGTTATTCACTACTGAATTGAGAGCTGTACGGAGGTAAATAACAAGTACGGCTGCTGCGCCCAGGAGGCTCGAGAACAAATCAAATCACATCAAACAAAATCAAGCCAAATCAAACCAAACCATATCAACTTTCATAATCTAGCCTCCCTCGACTTACTTTTATACCTAGGTATTTACAAACAGCAACGGGTCTCTTGCTCCTACTTCTACTACAGCCTACAAACTTTCGAAAATGACAAACTCATATCCTACGGGCTCCCCGGCGTTACCAGACTCTGGCATGCCTACTGGAGCTTCCGGCTTTATGCCTAGAAGATCTTCATATGCATCTGTTGTCTCTGGCATAGCTGGGGGTAACTCTCAACAGTTTGGTCAACCTCCAAGATCCGGCGCTTTCGCAAATCTCCTAAATTCGAATACACACATGTTAAATCAACAACATGATTCCATCTACTACGATCCAAATTATAATTATGCCACTGGACGATATGGATATGGGGGCTTTCTTGGTTTTGATGAGGAAAATGGCAATGGCGGGGTCAATCATGGACGATCAGCATCATGGGGTAGAGGTGGGCAGCTTCCAAGCTTCTCAAGTGCTTTTGGTTCACTAGTAAATGGCCATGGGCACGGTGGACCCGGTGGATATGCGGACCATTTCTTTGTGCCCTCGTATCTGAAGGGGTCAAAATATGTACAAAAGCTAGAGGAAGCGCACAGGGCAAAAGTTCTGGCGCATAGAGATGGGTCGTCGGCTCCACCGTCACAACCGAATTCCCTTTCAACTAGTGCTAGCAGTGTCAATGTACATGCAAAGATGGTACCTTCGCATCGAGGTAGACCTTATGATCTTGTCGAAAAATCCTCCCTCATCGAAGACGAAACTCTGTCGCCGTTACCAAGTAAATGGAGTACAAGTGACAAGTTTGGAGCACTCGATGTGTTGAGCGATGGGTTAGAAGTCAAATTGACAGGTCCGAAATCTATGAATGATCGAGATAACGAAGCGTCGGCCATTAGAACCGATTACCCTATGCCTCCCCAATGTGGAATTTATTACTTTGAGGTGACAATTTTGTCGCGGAAGCGAGAGGAGTATGTTTTCTACTCGATTCCTACAACTGAAGACTGTCTAACCTTCTCTTTAGTAGCTCTATTGGTATTGGATTTTCTACTAAACAAGTATCCATATCAAGATTACCAGGATGGGAACCTGATTCTTGGGCATATCACGGTGATGATGGTCACGGATATGCTGGTCAAAATACTGGGAAACCTTATGGACCATCATTTACTACGGATGATACGATAGGATGTGGTGTAAACTTTTCTACTGGTTCGGCCTTTTTTACAAAGAATGGAGATCATCTAGGTCAGTATTTGTGAATCCTCTCTCATCATGATTTGTTTCTATACCATTGAAAAGTGGTTGATTTATTTGGAATAATTACTGATACTTTTAATTCAAGGTATCGCCTTCCGAGACATAAAGGGGAAGCTCTTTCCTTCTGTTGGTATGAAAAAACCTGGCGAGCATATTAGAGTAAATTTTGGGCAGAGTCCATTTGTCTACGACATAGATGGCATGATTTCGGTCAGTAAATGCATTTTCACATTCTAATGATGCCCGATCTTTACGAAACACTTAAAGAGGCATTAATGGACCAGCTGGCGCGTCTTAAACAACGGATGGGGGCATCAACAACCAGAAATTCTGGGAAACTTGAAGTACAGGATTTCGATGTGGAGAAGAGCCCGCAACAACCTCTGCCACCATTAACTCGCTTTTTCTTATGCTAATTGTTGATATAGGAAGAGGAAAGGCAAATCAAAAAGGAAATAGCATCAACCAGGTACTTGATTACAATCTCATGACTTATTGATATGCTAAAACTTCCCTTAGTACTGCAAAGCTTCACCCACCTTTAAGTGAAACAGAATTAATTCAAGCTTTGGTATTTAAGACTATCAAAAAGTTCCACAGTTTAATAGCTGATTATGTATAGGTTTTACAATTTCTAACACATGATGGCTATGTTGAAACGGCAAGAGCATTTGCGGATGAAGTTCATTCTGAGAAGAAAGCTTTGAATATGGATCCAAATGTTACAATACCGGGATTTGATATCAAAGACGATGAAGATGCTGCTCATAGGCAACGTAAGTTTTCCCGGTGAATGAGAGGCTTTTATACTGATATTATACAGGGATACGCACAGCAATATTAGAAGGAGACATTGACCAGGCTCTCAAACATACTAACGCATACTATCCTCAAGTTCTCAAAGATAACGAACACGTTTATTTTCGATTAAGATGTCGCAAATTCATCGAAATGGTTAGACAAATGGCAGAAATGCACAACTCCAATTCCACCAACGGATCAAAGAAGAATACGGCGCACAACGGGGATTGGTATGATGATATTATAAATCATGATATGGAATTGGATGATCATCAAGCCCAAGCCAACAATTGGGATAGGATGGAAACGGATGGTGGAGTAGATTTTGAAACGGAATATCAAAATCTACTTTCAGAGACTTTGTCATATGGACAAGTTCTTCAAGCAGAATTTAAGGACGATCCAAGAAGAGAGGTTAGCAAAGCTTTGGAAGATGCTTTCTCGTTGATTGCATATAAAGATCCTATTAACGAGAAAACCGTCTCACATCTTTTGGATCCAAGTGGAAGGCTTGCTGTGGCTGAGGAATTGAACTCTGCTATTCTTCGTAAGTTTTCCGTTAGTTTTATTTGAAGATCAATAGCCATCTTTTCTGTGTGCACGAATGGTTACTAACTATAGATAAAAGTTTCCCTTGGCAAATCGTCCTCAGCGGCTCTCGAACGAGTCTACCAACAAACCACAATACTTTTAGAAGATTTAAGGGAATCAGGTGGTCCAGGGGCTTTTGTTAATATTGATGATTATACGAGACCAAAGAGACATGACGGTGCCAATGGAAATCATATTCTAGGTTGAGGGGGGAAATGTAGGTGTTTGTGTTGGTGTTTGTATAGTATCCCTAAGATGCTTGGGAAAGGAAAACTTGAAAATTCGCAGGCTGAAGTTGAGGTATTAGACTTATTTTTTTATTTCATATCTTATTGATATGGTAATGATGGTTATGTTATCGAGAGCGAGTCAATTGGCTGTGTGTATCGATGGGGATTGGTTTGTGAGTGGATAATAAGATTACAATGGTAGGTAAGGAAGGCAAAGAATGGGGCGGTGGCTTTGTGGGAGAATGGTCGAAGGTGGATGGAGTCTTTTTGACTGCGCTGCATTATATGATTTATGAATTACATTGGCAATTAGTAATTAGCAACAGGGTATGAATGAATGAATGAATGGTACATTATGGTTTATGAATAAATGAATGAATTATAATTCTTCTATTGTATTTATATCTATCTCCATTAATATCCTTATTCAAATCCTTATACCTATGTATGCACACACCTCTTCTTTTTTCACTCTTACTCTCTCACTCTCCCACTCTCCTCTCAAAACCCAATAAATTCAATCAGTGATCAGTAATCAATAATCAGTAATTATTATATTCTTCTATATTATACTCTCCTACCTAGGTATCCCATCCCATCCCATCCTATCCTATCCTATCCTATCCTATACTATATAAACCCCCTCCTCCTACCACCAAGCCCAATATCCCCAATTCTTCTACTACTTTCCCTTTCCCTTTTCCTATCACATACATTCATTTATTCCCTTCCTATCTACATAATCCGCCCTAACAATAAAGCCATAAATAAATAGCCCTATTTTATAAACGCCAGGAAAATCAAAATCATATCGTGTACCCTGCTATACAGAAAATTGGGGTTTTGGGGTGCAAGAGACTGAGAAATTAAGATTGAGATTGAAATAAAGTTGATTGATTGATTAATTGATCACCTAGGTAATCAATGCTAATTATCCAGATATTTACGCCTACTTAAACACCATGTGTATTTGGTATGTCCAAAAGAATCCCTCCCAAAAAACGCCGTCTTAAACTCCTGGGTTTCGTTATTTGTGGTGTGTTGAGTGAGAGTGAGAGGGAGAGGGAGAGTGTGTGGATGATGTGGTAAAAATGAGGAGATTGGTGAGTCGGTGCGAATCGAGATGAGATGCGGATGTTTGTAAAACTGGTGGGTGATATTCATCGATTTTTCTCTTTGCTTTCTTCCACAGAGAGACACTCTTTGAACTCCATATCCTTGGTGCATCAGAAAATATTCGCACAACCACATATGAATGATATCCCTCGCACATCATATGTACCCCTCTCCATCACCACAATTTTCATGCAATTCTCCCCAACTTGCAAATTCTACAACCCACATCCTTCCATATCTCTCATCAAACAAGCCATTTGTGCCCTTTTGGCTGCCTCGGCTATCAAATTAAAATCCTTTAAAAATGGATTTGTTTCATCTTGGCTTGATGATCTTTTTGGTGCTTGTTGTGCGGTTGGTTGAGGAGCAGAAGTTGGTCCGCTGGAGGAAGAGGAGGAGGTTGGAGAGGGTTGGAAGTAGTTTGATGTGGAGGTGGTATGAGTGGAAGATGTAAGAGGTGCGTTCATTTTTGCGGTTTTTTAGGTTGGAGGTTGAAGGTTGAAGGTTGAAGGTTGAAGGTTGAAGTTGGAATTTCGAGGTAGATAGGTGATTCTCTTTGGTATATCTTGAGCGGAGGGGAAGTTGGAAGTGAAGACTTGATGAAGAAACTTTCTTTAATTTTGTGGATAAGTGTAGATATTGTAGTAAGTATTCGATCAATCGACCACGTATGGATAAATGCTCGTCTACCTCGGTCAGACTAAAAAAGATCAAAAATCTTTTCAAGTGGTTCTCATGCGTAATTTAGTCTTCCTAATTTAAACTTCAACCCCGGACTATTTAATAGTGGGATCGAAGATTGTTGATTAGATAGGGTATGACGATCGGACTGGTTTTGGTATTTCGCAAATTGATTCCAAGAGTGTTTGAGATAGTGTTTGAGATGTGAAGTACATAAGTTTTCGATACTAAAGGTCGATTTGCGTAATGGATATGATGATTGATGTGAGGGTACTTCAAGGGATGATCAGATAAATGGTGTGTAAGTTTGATCGAAGTTGTCAAGTTGAGTTGAAGAATGGGATGAGGGGTAAGGAGACTAGCTGAATACGACTGCACAGTAAAGTATGGTTGCAATGTGAGATGGGAGCAGACTATTCGAGTACAGTTCTCGTTGTTGGAGAGAGCATCCAAATAAGGTTCTTCAATAGGTCGGTCGAGTGAGGGGTGATGATGATGGTGGATGATGATGGTGGATGATGATGGTGGATGATGATGGTGGATGATGATGGTGATGATGATATCAAGCACTTATTTCTTTGTTCCAAATAAAATCCTTGGAGGCTAAGAAGGAATTGACAAGTATTTGCGTCAAGTGATCGGTCTTCTTTCTTTCATACACTTTGGACTTTGAAGGGTTCAATCTCTGCACCAAGGTAGTATTGTAAGGGGGGTTGATATGATATTCTCGTTCTGACGAATTCAAAATGGGTAAACGTATTTTTGACGATGAATGATGAAGCATCATGATATTCAGGGTACCAACTAGAGGATCTTCTTATGCGGGCATATTGAAATTTAATTGGTTTATAGCTCAACATACCCCACAATATTATTCAAACGCTCTTCCAATGGAGTTTCATTTGTTGTCGGCTATTAGATGGCTATTTACACAGGTAGTCGAGCAGGGAGTCGAGTAGTTCTACTAAAATCATCTATGGCATGGGCTGTTTTCTCCGCAATTACAAGGTAGTCGTATGGAACTCAAGTACAACCTAGTCCATTTTTAGCATTTCCCCACATCGCCAAGCATTTTCTTTCATCGTTGTTTCCCACCCGAGGTTCTTTATTTGATAGGTGTTAGAGTTTGCAGAGTCGGATATTGTATCATTATCATTATCTATCTCCGTTTTCTACTGTAGAAAGGTAGGTACACCGGCATGAAGGAGGCTCAATGTTTTGTCCACCGACCAACGAATCTATTGCGTATTCCATTCTGGCTTCTTTTAACCTCATCTTCCATGTCTTCTGGACTCTGTCCTGTTTGCTTATACTACGCAGGGTAGAATGCAAATGTCTTGGTCAATATGATAGTATATATACACACCACACACAACTTCATCCTGCATGCATCGTACCTGAAATCGAGACCCATTCTTACTCGGACTTTCTTATACCTAGTAAGTTCATGCATTACAGGCCGTTTTCAGATTCGAAGTCAGTTCATCCATCCAATATCGTTCCATCATTCTCACGCCAGAGATGCATTTTGCCGTGTTTTATGATTATATGCTATTTCGGTGGTGAGATGGAACCACATCTACTGTTCACGATATCTTTGATTCTTACCGGTATCAATCCGGTATCAATCCGGTATCCGATCCACCACTTCGCATACATTATCCGCTGTAATTCATTTTCTCGGATAAATGCATTCATCCTCCTTAAAAAGTGGGTAATGTCCGTCATTTATTGGTACTTTTCCGGTCCACCACCACTTTTGAACCTCCTCCCTACCTTTAGAATTGATATCTTATCTATCGATCTCCGTTACTGCCGTTCCTCGGCCCTTCTCTAGCAAAAATTGTCGCGGTTAATATGAAAATTGGTCGGTGCGATGAGGCCAGTATACAGCCTCACCATTTAATTTTGTCTTCAGAGAATCAGAGGAAAGGAAAATATCGGAAGACGCGCCGAAACTACCTAGTCCCGAGTTTGTTTACGGATTAATTCTTGATTTGTGTTTTATCCTGGTCGGGGTCTGTCTGAATCATTCGAGCTTTGCATGGAAAGCTATGTCTCCTCCTTCAAATGAATCAGTATCTCCTTCGAGATCTGTGAAGAATCAGAAAGATGCTTCAACTACCAAGAAAGATGCTTCAGCTACCAAGAAAGATACTTCCTATAATCAATCCAATTTTACTCGTCAAACAAATGCCGTAAAGGATTTATTCAGTATACCTAAACCTGTCAAAAAATTATTCGATAAAGTACCTATTATTACATATCCAGCAAACGGGTTACCAGAGAGGAGTCCGGGAGCAAAGAATACCAAAAATGATGGAGATGCTAGATTACCTAGTTTATATATATTTTGTAGAGAGGGTGAAGAGGATGAAGGAAAACCGAGTTTCAATCCAGGATGTTTAAAATGGCAGGTTTGTTTACCAGTTTGAAGATTTAACTAGCAATATTATTCAATGAAAGAAACAAGGCTGACGGTATTCATAGACATTCCTAAGACTCGCAGGAGTTAATCATAAAATTGTCTCTTCAAATAATCATGCTTCACCTACTGGCGTACTACCTTTCCTCTTACCGGGTATCAAATCGAATTCCTCACAGGATGATTACCTCCCAATACCAAGCAACGGATTGATAAAATACGCAAAAGAACAAGGAAAGAAGATTCCCGAAGCAAGAAGTAGAAAATTGGAGGCGTATCAAGCATTACTCGACAACAATATACGAAATGCATGGGTATGTCCTTCCCTCCTTTCTCCACATCAAAACCCCAAACTAACCAACCAACCAACCCATAGCTACACACCCTCTATCTCACCCCCTCAAACTTCAACACAGTCGCCACACCTCTCTACATAAACCCGACCTCTTCCTCCCTCCTAGTCCGTCTCTATTCAGCCTACCAATTACGGGCAGCAGCTGAATCGGAATTACGCAAGAGTGCGGAGATTATTGATGCGGATTTGATATATAAAGAGGCGGATAGGGCGTGGGAAGCTTTGAGTTTGTTGCTTGGGGGGGACGAGTGGTTTGAGGGGGATAGGCCGGGGGTTTTTGATGCCGCGGTTTTTGCTTATACGTGGTTGCTCGGGGGTGGGGGGTTAGGATGGTGGGAGGGGGATGGTGGGAAGGGAGATAGGAGGTTACCGGACGGGGTAGAGAGGTGGGGAAATCTTGTAAGGCATAGGGAGAGGGTTTTTAGGAGGTGTTGGGGTGAGGAGGATGGTGTGTTGGTTTAGGATGTATGTATGTATGGAAGGGAGGAATACCCGCAATAGAAGATCGGAGAAAGAGATGTTTGTTTACTTAGCTACCTATCTACTATGAGCTCCAACCGGACCTCGAAGTTTTGGTTATTTGAATCATTAATGCTACTTGCTACCAAGGTATGCATCCACAAAGGCGTTCCATATATTTTTCGACCTCTGCTATTAATATTCACTATGCACCGCCAGAGAATCGAAAATAAGTTATACATCTGCATGTAGATGTTGATAGCCCGGGCCTTGTGGATATGACATTCATTCTTCTCTATACCCTTTCATCATCTTTAAAGAACTCGCTCAAATGAAGTAACTCACTCCTAATGCAAATTTAGAATCTGCTTTCAAATCAAATCTAAAAACCAAGGAGTTAAATCACTAGATATTTGAAAGCATCATCATGGGCTCAAGCTCGAAGATCCTGCAATCCTACCCAAAATACCCCATTTTGGAGTTTGGATATCCTCCTATGAGGAACTGTGGATGGATACATGGTTAGTGTAGACAGGGCTTTGTTGAATGGTGCTTTATCTGGTAGAGTGGTGGAATGGGAAGATGGGATGAGATGGTGGAGTTAGGTGTAGATGCTAGAGAGATTGTAAGTAACGGGACAGCTGTTAATAAGGGACAGCTGTTTGTTCCTAGGCGTTAGAAAGCTAATAGTATCCATGCAGTGGTTTCATGATCGGTTCTTCTTTGATAGCTAAGAGGTTATTGGATATTTATGGGTGATGTGATTGATTGGCGAGAAAGTTCTCAATATTTAAAAGGGGTCAACCCGACGTCAAGTGTCGTTTCATCAACCAGGTCTTGAGACCTGGCAAACATTATCAAGGGAATATTATTTAGGGTGTCTACTAATTGGAGTCAGATTGGCAGAAGTAGAAGGTGAATCAGAACCTTATTCCATGTATCTGAGTGTTTCTCACCATTCAAATAGTGTTAAAGGTCTCATTAGCAGGTTTGCCCATATAGTGTGTCCAATAGTCTGCCCGTATTCCGTCCGGACGGTTATCCGGATGGCTAGTCTATGATCTTTTTTGGATTAGACGAACTATTGAGGGGAATTTAATATAAAAAGTCTGGACTAAATAATCTAATATTAAAAGGTTTAAATTACAATTCGGAGTATTAAATTGGATAAAATTATTATATAATAATATTATATGATATCATATGATTTTCAAATTATGGGATAACCTTATTCAGTCCAAAAGTCTAGCTCGCTTGGACTACAGTCTGGCTTGTTGGGGATATGAACTATCCTAGATGAACTGTTTAACTTTCTAATGGATTTAAGCTCGACTATTTAACTTAAAACATCTAGTTCGTCCTGCAGTCTGGATTATTGGACACACCGTGCCCATATAAGACAAAGTTACAAAGAAAATCGTTTTCTTGTTGATCCGGGAGTCAAATCGAGGTTGTATTGAAATGCTTTTGCTCTCTAGTTCTCTTGGTATATATATATCCACCTGATTATGCCTATTATTTCAATGCTGTTATTCTCATCTCGGGAATAATGCAGTACTATTAATTCCCCAGATGTCAGATTTCAACCAAGATACCATGAGAATTCTTTCCATACCATAAGGGAATTTTTGATACCACAGCGCTAAGATGCTCATCACAATAATACGTAAATCCAGTGAACTAATTTTGGTTCGCAAACTAGAGACTTATAGTGACTGATGCAATCCTGCAAGCAGTGGCGACATTGGCCGCAGCCATCCTGGGATTCTTTAAGTAGATATCAGACTCATCAAATCTCGCCTGCTACATTACTGCTATAGGATGGTAGAATATTGCTCCCCAGGATGCGTCAGAGATGCCACTGGAAAAATTTCAAATATCATCTGCGCCAATGAGTAGTAAAAGACAAACTCCCTTGACTTAAACACTTCGCCATATATAGAGCAGATAGTCGTACCAAGAAGTGCATACGCGTCCCGCTTGGAAATAGAAATAGAGAGTGATAGCTATGCCAAGATAGATAACTTATTGTGATGATGATACACTAGCATCTATAACGGGGTGCACCGTGACTTAAGTTACTGAAGATTTATTGCAAGACGACCGAAAGATCTGATTGGGCAGATAAATATTTGATAGCCTTAATATCAAAGACTACCTAGTAAGTACTGCAGTGGAATGAGTACAAAAGCCGTATAACTTTATACGGAAAAGTTGATTTCCAGCAGGTTTTATGTATAATAGCCTGGATGAGCACGGTGAGATTAGTCGGGGAGGCTCCATCTTACAGGCCTGCGGATACTCTAACCAAAAGAAGCTAGTACGTACAAGGACATTCTCAAGCTCTATTACTCCACTCAGAGCTCTGCAAGAATCCTGTTGCATGCCGAATTCGTGGAACTGCCTACCACTATTATATATAGTGGAGAAGCTTTACCATACGCGACAAGCCTAGAGTTAACCAGAGCTCGAAGCATTTGACAAAATTCTTCTGCAGTTTCTACTGACTTGCCAGTCAGTCTGCCTCGCTGTTCCGATGTTTCTGTCCATTGGCTTGCAAAAGGATTTGGCTAGCCCGATGCCAGTGCACTAGTTCTCGCAGTCAAGTCAATCACAGAAGCACGTCCTTCATTATGCTGAAATGTGTCATCAGAGAGTCTTGCTTGCGCCGTGAACCAACACTGCAGGGAGCAGCCCGCATTCTTGAAGCGTCCAGTCCGAAACTAGCCACCGCTCTCCTTCTTCGCGACTGCGGGATCGAGCGAGTAATTGCACTATTGCTTCAAAGTATGCTTTGGGATCGGTAAGCAGGGACCATTTTCTTTTTTGAAACAGCCAGAAGTAGCGTTTTGAGTAGAGTTTGTAAACTCCAAAATGTAGAATGGAGCCATGCAATGCTATTCTTCATGTTGCGATATTTGTACTCCCGGTGAGCTTTTTAGGCTCAAAGTGGTACGCTTATGCCTAATGATCTACTTAGTTGTGTTTCAGCGATGGAGGGAGTGAACTAACACTTGATCCCCAGTCTATTCGTTCTTTACATTTCTCAAGAGAGAAGTGGTGGTCCGCTGGCCATTGAAAATCTCCTGGGGAATACATATCCAGTCTCACCAAATATATCGAGGCCCGATTGGTTTCATAACCTCTTTCGCTCGATTAAGAACAAATCCGGTAGTTTTTGGGACGCTCCAAAGAAGGTCATCTGGTATTTCTTCGTCTGGTTGTGGTATCTCGAGGTTTGCGACATAATCCCAGTTATAGGAGACAATGCCATAGACTTCCGGCCCAATGGTGCTGGCAATATCCATACACCGTTCAAGCTTCCAATTGAGGAGGTCAAGAATCCATCGAGGTCATTTGAGCCGTTTAGAGGAATAGTTCATCTCTCCTACCTGGATCCATCTTGAAAGTGTGGAGCTGATCATGATTGATAGGAGCAAGTGTTGAAAGTTGTTTGGGCTTTGCAGGCAATGTTTCTCCAAAGTAGTAATTTTTATGAAGGTAAAAAGAAAATAATTATCAGCTAGTAGCTCCAGAGAAAGAGAGATATTCCCCTTTGTCGCTCTGAAAGTACCACCGACTCTGATCATTCTCCTGATATTTCCATCCTCACGTGATTACTATCATACACGTTGTAACCACTTTGATGCGCATATCTTCTACTCTATAACATTAAGATCAAGGTCACTCGACGCATCGTGTTGTACTGTATTTTAGTCGCCAGAGGTGCAGCTTACATTTGATGCAAGTTGTCCTTCATTGATAGCTGAAGTTGAGACCAGATAATATCGAAATGCCTCTTAGCCTTTTAAAATGCAAAAAACAGTCTTCGTCTCGCATATTGAAAATATCTAGGGCCTGCGAATGTGGAGTGACTGGTTGTGAGTATGCATATTGGAAGTCTTTACGACATCAACTTCAATTTCATTGATTGCACAGCATTTTAGTATCGTATGAGGAGTAGATCGCGGGACAATGGCTAGCTGTAAGCACTTGGATAAAGGTTCTCCTGCACGACCTTCGAATTTGTAACGGTGCTATAGACCGGAGCTTGGAGAATGGGAGCGTGGCTGGGTGTACGCACCGAATAGGAATTTACTCCTGAGCAATGTTTATCACGAATAATATAAAGTGTGCTTACTCTTTGTGGTCTTTACTTCTGGTTCAGAACTATTTTCGCTCCTGTCGAACCTCGTTCAGCATATTAACATCAGCAGAGATAAAGAGGACAAGCTCGTGGTCTATAAGCCTCGAGTGAAGTTTTTTTTTACCTGCATATCGATGGCGAGTTCCATACTCAGGCGATCTGTAGCTGTTAGGGTAGTGAATCGACGGAGAGATTCAAGTTCACTATGAGTTATGCTGTATTCCAAGCTGATATCAACTGGGGGGGGAGGTAGGGAAGAAGTTTGAGAATCTTGACCTATATGTGGCGCGGTGGAGGCAGTTTTCATTTCCGAGGTGCGAAAACATAAGCGCGAACCAAGTGCTCCAGGGCCGGTTGATCGATAGGAAAACTGACCTCTTGGATGTTTCAGCGAACTCAATATTGACAAGGTGAAGGGCAGGCTTAGGCACTGTAGGCCGCAGCGCTAGCTCAGTCGTTTTCTTCTTTCGTAGATTATGATTGGGAAGTTATTTCTCCAGCTTTCTAGAGGTTGGACAATGACATATCAACGCTCCTTTTGGGGAAGACGTATCCCGCTACTTCGTGAATGCGTACGGATATCTGACTGGAGAAATATAAAATTTTCATGCGACACTCAACTCGATCAAGTAATAAGACTCCAATAATAGGTTCTGTGGCTCTCGGATAACCAGAACCCCTTGATGGAGGATGAAGACGATATGAAATAATAACATGAAATAATAAAATGAAATAATAAAATGAAATAATAAAATGAAATAGTAGCTTTGAAAATATCCCGAGTGGAAAAGACTACCGAGATTATAGTCATTATAGTCTCCTTGTTAAAAAATTCCTTACAATATAGCTATAGCACTTCATACACAAACTATAGATGAAAATCTATCCAAGGGATCGCAGGTAGATTCAAGGGATATAAGATATGTAGCCGATTCCTACGTAACCAAAAATTAAAAATCAGGAGCGTCAAATTATCCCACTACAAATATTAAGCCTAGAAAAACCATACATTGATTCATCAACCGGAATATTTATAAGGTTAAATACTTAGCTTATATTTCCAATACGGTGTATATAAGATGATACTTTTAGCCTGCCAAATTAAATATTCATATTCTATAATTTTACACGCAAAGCTCATGGTTTATGCGGTGTCCGATGTCTGATGTCGAGTCGGGGTTGGTTTGATATATTTAGAAATTGAATCCTGGGTAATGGAGCTGGAATTAGAAATGGAAATGGAAAGTAATGGGAAGTAGTTGATGATATGCATGTGCTACATATACCGTCCTTTCACCCTTGTAAGATCTCAAATCTTACATACTCCGCAAAAGTGTACATGTAGTCATGGCCAAAGAATACACGATGAAGGATCGTGGATGAAGAAATTTTGGTGGAACAGGTTTGAAGTGAGGTCAAGGGCTGGCGGGCGGTTGATGGGAATATTAATAGAAAGGATGGGGTCGGGGCTGAGGTCTGTGTTTGGGTCGGGACAGGATGTAATGGGTCATGTACTGGTTCTAAGTTGTTGAGCTGCGCTCTAGATGGTGTGTGAAAGCTTGTGTCTGATTAGAATAAAGTTGTCTATTTCTCATTTGATCTTCGCATTTGAAGTTTTATTGGGAATTGGTAATGCATTATTGCCTGAAGTGCTGTGCTGGAGACAATGGACATATGAAACACTAGCAAGGCCAAAGGCCGGAGACCAGTACAATCAAATCACTCACAATCACAATACACAAATCAAAAGAATCAAAAATTGGTAAGGAATAGATTCAACTGTCCTCTATCCTATCTATCTATCACTTCGTTATCATGATCTGACACGTAATCATCATCCAATCTCTCATGTCAATATTTCTCATCATCATGAATCATGACCATCAAGTTTCATTCCCCAAAAAAAGACCCATCATCTCTCATTTCATCATGAGCATGCGTCTATCGTCATCCTGTGCCTATCACTCTTCTCCCTAGGCCTATGGCAATTTTGTCTTCCCCTTTTCCTCCTCTTCATGTGGTAACCCTCTCTTTTCTTTCCCCAAAGTGAGGAAGGACTGAAAAGGGTTCAATGAAAACTTGTCGTGTGTAAAAGAAAGTAATTGATTTTCGGGTTTTCCTTGGTAAAAACAGACCGAGTAAACAATACTCCATTAAAAAATGTACATGAAAGTCGTGAATAAATCATTCGTTTCGTTTTTGCGCCGGGGATTCGGCTTCCCGTGAAACACACATCGTGACAAGTACCAGACTTGACGTGATATGTGTACAGAGGATGAAGATTCGTAGAGTGGCTAAATGGCACTACTCTCTCTTCGTGGCGCTATGTGTGCGTCCAGGTGTTTTGTTGGTATTTCCAGTCCAGGAAAATCATTAAGCGTTCATTCATCGACGGACAACGATACCATTTCTGCGAGATGATCGTGAGTACTCAACCTCATCTTCAGAGCTACATGACTCGGAATCGCTGTATCCACATCGAGATCCTCCGCAATCCAACTTGATTCTGTCCCCCTTTCTCGTAATTCCATATCGTTCACACGTGCAGGCTGATGTGTTGGAACCTGATGAATAATCGCTCATACTCGAAGCAGAAGATGGCGAGCTGGTACCACTGGTGTCGGAGATGGTAGAACCGACGGACGAAGATGGTGATCCTGGAAGATCGTAATCGTAATCGTACTCTTCCATAGTGGCGACACCAAAACGTGCGGTGAGTTCGTCGACGGTTGGGCCAGCGTAGTCGGCTTCGAGAATGTGCTTGGTGGCGTGTGGAGACATGGGTTTAGGAGACTTGATTTGAGAAATGGAGAGGGGTCGACCTTTGGGGATGTCAACGCTGAGGTGAGAGTCACGGCGAGACTCTCTGCGGGAGGACGAATGTGAGGAATGTTTGGATGATGAACTGGAAGAATGCTTGGAGCTTGATGAACTGGATTTGGATGATCTTGAAGATGATTCAACTGGAATATCGAGAATGTTCAGGACGCGACCAGTAGTTGGCTCGGTAGTCGATGATATGGCAGGGTCGTGAGACATGGTATCCATCGATGATGTAGTAATACCAATATCTTTGACCAGGTTGAAGGGTGGTGCCTTGAAATCTGAAAGTACCTTTCCAGCTACCAGATTTGGAAGAAGTCTTGTCCTTAGCGAGTGGAAGTTGACCAGCATAGTTATCCCAGCTACCAAGTAAATGAACGGTCTTAACACTGGAAGAAACACGAAGAGAGAATGACAATTGAATAGCAGCCATTTTGAGATCCTTGATGCAAAATACTAAAGGGGAAATTTTCAATGTACTGAAATTGGCTGATTTGAGCAAGAAGAGACTAGTCGTTAGGGGTATAATTCGGATTGTGTGAATTAGGAGATTTGTGAATAAAAAATTAATAAAAAGTTGACCGGCAACTTGATAGAGTGATTAGAATGTAAAGATTTTGGTATGATATTACAGA